GCGTTATTCATTCCTCACCAAAGATTTCTAAAGTTTGCTGTAGGAGCTTGGCATTTCCAGTTCATAACTCTACCAGCGTTTTCACAAATTCTTGCTCTGGTGTTGGGGCTGCTCAGAACTTGGGGCGAGGGGGGTTCTGGAGAGAGAGATCGGTCATAGGTTATCTAGACCAGGGGTCTCCAAACTGTTGCCATTATCCGGCCCTTGAGGCACTATTCCTTCTACTGATGCGAGGCATTATTACTGCCACTGACCCCAATGAAGGGACACTATTCCTTACACTGACACTAGATATGAGGAACTAATTTTTCCACTGACACCAATTGTGACACTATACCTACCAATGACACCAATTATGGGACACTATACCTCCCAATGACACCAGCGACGGGGCAATTTTTTTTTTTTTTTATTCCCCTGGACCACCAGGCCAGTTTACACCCACCAATGCCAGGGCATTTTCTACTCTCACTGGCCACATTCTGGCCCCCCTAAAGTTTAATGGCCAGTAAACTGACCTTTTATTTTGAAAGTTTGGAGACCCTAATCTAGACTATCTGTTGCTCAGAGGTGGGTCGGTGTCAGATCAGAAGCAGGATGTGGTCCTTGTGATGCAGATCCTAGAACAGCTCAGAAGAAGTCGGCCCTGGTGCCAGTACAGAGCCTGGAGTATTTAGGGATGGTTTTAGACACAGTTCAGGAAAAAGTATTTCTGCCTTTAGGGAAATGTTGCACCCTGAGGAACGAGATGTGCAGTTTAAAAGCCAAAAGATATCCTTCAATTCGCCTCTGTATGAGGTTGTTGGGGAAGATGGTGTCCTCGTTCAAGGCTATTCCCTGTGCCCAATTCCACTCCAGACCGCTGCAAAGGAATTTTCTGTTTGGAACAAGAAGGTTCTGGCCCTGGATTACTGTAGGTCTCTGTCTCCAGAGGTACTGCGAAGCCTGATTTGGTGTTTAATTCACAATTTGGAGAAAGGGAGATCCTTTCGGCCAGTGGTGTGCAGAAATTTGTAACAACCGATGCCAGCCTCTCAGGTCTGGGGGCTGTCCTGGAGGAGGCCACAGTTCAGGGAACGTGGCTTCCACGCGAGAGGGTTCTACCCATCAATGTCCTGGAACTTTGGGCATTGAGGCTGGCTCTGAGGTATTGGACATCCAGGCTTCAGGGTTGGCCTGTAAGGATTCAGTCTAACAATACTCAGGAGTGTGGACATTTTTGAGAAAACTACTTGTCCAGGGACTAAATTGGTGTGCCAATCTACTTATCCCTCATGACAATCTACTTGTCCTGATAAAAATCATGAATTTTAACCAAAACCTTATTTAAATCTGCTTTAAGTAATGTCTGGGTCTTTTAAAAACAAAAGGGGCTTTATGGTGACAAATGGTTAATATTTTTAACATTGCGCTGTTTATCTCCTCCTCCCCCTCCTTGCCTCTCTCCAGCCCTACACCCGGGGACTAGCAGGGAGGAGAGAGACTTTGCAGTGTAATGAGCACTGATTGGGTGCTGTCAGGAAAGGGGAGTGTTGGCTTATCCTTTTATCCATTTTGCCGCCAGGTCTTTTTTGCATTTTTTGCACACTTTTAAAAAATCATTTAAGGCCTGAAGATTACACAAAACCCCCAACATTATATATTTTCTGAAATCTGAGACCCTAGAGAATAAAATAACGGTAATTTAAAATTTTTTGTCTCACGATATTATCACAAACATCTAGGAAACACAAAATTTCAGTAAAATATACTCTCAAGTTAATTTTAGGGCACAAAAAGCAATGAATTATCCAATTCTTTGTAAAATATAAAAGACGAGGTTGCATCGCGTAAATATCCAACATGTCAAACCTTTAATTTGCATGCACTCGTGAAACTGCAACAAACTTTAGTACCCTATATTTTCTATAGGTGGCGCTTTTAAAGCCTCTTATAGGTAATCAGTTTAGCGTTACGGAGGAGGTCTGGTGCTAGAATTATTGCTCTCATTCTGGCGTGTGCGGCGATATGTAACTTGTATCTGACGGGAGAGATCTGTGTTTGCACACAAGTCTCCCCCCCCCCCCCCCCCGTTGGAGATCCTCGGCAATTACCAGACCCTGGTGAATGGCGGCGCGGGTAGGGGGTGGTGCATGTGCCCCCCCCCCCCCCCCCCCCCCCCCCGCGTGGAGATTGAATGCAGCGTTGTATCGCAAAAAATGGCCTGCTCAGGAAGGGGGGTAAATCCTCTGCAGGGCAAGTGGTTAGTGAATGAAATGGTTTGGTCCAGCTTGATTCAAACAAACTAATTTTGTTAAATGAAAGCTTCAGTTCAGCTTTATTAAATGCAGGCTTCTGAGATTTATGAAATGATTTCAGATGGCATAGCTGCCTAGATCATGTCTACTTTCAGGTATCATAGTACTGGTGGCAGCCCTTTTCTTTTCCCTGGGCTCACCTTGCTTATCTGTGATCCTGGGACCTTTGGAATAGGAGATCAGGGAACGGACTTTTCTGGATCTCCTGCATGGAGACTGAATGCAGAAGTGTTCAGCTCTGAGCTGTCCTAATCCCAGCATAACAGCCTGGCGTCCCCTGCTTAGACTAGTATAGAGTGTGTGTGTTGGACTCCTGATGTCTCCATTAAGAGGGTTTCTCACTATCACATAGGAGGCCTTGTGATGGTAAAGTAGGAGACAGATCTTAACAACCCCCCCTCACTTACCACATACACACAAATCATCACAAGACTGCTTCATTTTAGGGAACCAGATTGTTTGCAGCAGGTTTGAAATGGCTGACTCATGACTTTTTAAACTTGATTATTTCGTTCCTTGTACAATTTTTGATGTAATGTCTAATTTTGCATCTTTTTATTTTAATTTTTTAGCAAGCCTTAGGCCATGGAGCACGGAGGTACCATATTTCAGCCGTCCTGTGCCAGAGAGCCAAAGTTGCAATGAGCCACTTTGAACCCAATGAATATATCAGCTATGAAAAAATGGAAAAAAATATTGACATTGTTCATAAACGGTAAGTGGTATAGTCTTGAAGGTGGGGAAAAAACAAGACCATGATTTTGGATTTTAGGATAGTCACTGTAGTGTCACTGTGTCTTGTCAATGTGCTGAAGGAAAAAAAAATACACTTGGAAAATATATAAATGGCCATTGCTGTCATTCAGTTTCATTGACTTTTGGTACTTTGAGGTGCTGACCTGGAACAGGTGTGCAGAACTGTAATTTAGACTTGGTGAAATCATTGGGGGTACAACCAAAAAGTTACATTTATGGAGACTTGGGATAGGAAATTGCTCCCTATTATGAAACTCTGTATCAAATCACCAGGGTAGATCTTGGGGCACTGAACGTTTTAATGTATCTTTCAGAAGGTCTGCGATGGCAGCCCATGTATTTATGTAAAGCGACTGTTGCCAAAAACAATATTGTAAAAATAGGCATTGAACTTCTCCAGCAGGAGGTGAATCTTCACTTCGCTCTGTTTAAGAGCTGTGGCTTGTAGCAGAATCTTCGCACCTGTCGCTCCATATGTCACTGCTTTGTTATGTAGTAATGTCAGGCCAGTGGAAGGAAACGTATCACATGGCAGGGGACAAAGGACAGAGCACTTGAAAGAGGAAAGATTGGATTTGTCCTCCACCTGAAATATGCTCACCCTTTTCTGTCCCATTAGCTGTTTGCAGAACTTGAATTTTCCCAGAAAACAATACGCTCTGTAATTTGACTAGGGAGCCCTGTCATTTTATCTGCCACTCCACTCACGGAATCTGGGAGAAGAATACTGTCGTTGTGAATGCCCAAGATGACAGGAAGGGGAGAGGGAACAGCGCAATGCTTCAGTCACTTCTCCTAACTTCTGTAGTCCTGTAGAGAGATGTCTAGCACTAGGGGAGGATGACCGTAACCAGAGGCCAGCAGAGCAAGCGATACATTTATTACACTGGTACTGTATGATCCCCAATTTTCATTCCTTTTATTTTTTTTGTTTTTTTAACCAAAATTCTGCTTTAGGACTTGTTTACACTACTCTTCTGAAGAGTAATCAGATTTTATTGCTTTGCTGAAGGCATTGATAGGTGGTAACATGGTAGTACTGCCTGCTGAGCATAACTCTGCATTGCAAAAACAAGCAAAATTATCCCCAGAGTGGCATATATACTCCTACTGCCTTTGCAGAAGCTGGAGAGGTTAGGGGGTGGAGAAAATTGCAGATCAGCCATTTGTCTTTACCACTGTGAATAGACTGGATCCCTGTTTCAGAATATACAGTGCACAATCTAAATCCCCCCCCCCCCCCCAACTCATTTGTTATAGGCATGGGGGTTTCCTTTTCATGTTTCTAGTTTTGTTTTTTTGTTTTTTTTTATACTTTTAGATGACTAATTTATTCAGATCTTGGACCCGTAGGACACACTTTATTGTGTTTTTGCTTTGCCACTCCCCACAGCAATTCTAATTGAGGCCTTAGTGTACCTGTATGTTGCTTTAGGACCAGAAAGCGGTTTCCTGCTGGGTTTCAGACAACGCAAAATGCATTGTGCCTCACTAGCTGGAAGTCATGGGATGTTCTGTAAAGGAAATGTGTGCCGCTTCTCAATGATGGCTCCTGTTTGGTGAATGAGTCTACCCAGTGTTCTTCAGTAGAAGGCATAGGTTGTGGAAAGGGGGTCGGTGTATTTGACTATGAAAGCAATGGTCGCACTTTCCTTTTTAACTGCAAGATTCTAGCACCTAAAAAGAGGTGATGCTTAACTACTTCCTAATATATATATTATTTATTTAATTTTTTTTTAATATTAAAATCCTGCTTTATCACAATTTTACCTAAATTCACTAATTTTTAATTATTAATTATTTTTAAGTCTGGACCGGCCCCTCACATTGTCGGAGAAGATTGTATATGGTCATCTTGATGATCCAGCAAAGCAAGACATTGTGCGAGGCAAGACTTACCTTCGACTACGTCCTGATAGAGTTGCTATGCAGGATGCCACAGCCCAGATGGCGATGATGCAGTTCATTAGTAGTGGATTGCCCAGAGTGTCAGTGCCTTCAACTATCCATTGTGACCATTTGATTGAGGCCCAGCTTGGTGGTGATAAGGACCTTAAAAGAGCAAAGGTATGTGTTGTGCAAACCTTTAACTACATTTGTGAATGTAAACTGCTCAAAAAAAACTAAAGGAACACTTTTTAGCATCAAGTCAATTAAACTCCTGGGATATTGATCTGGTCAGTTAAGTAGCAGAGGGGGTTGTTAATCAGTTTCAGCTGCTTTTGTGTTAAGGAAATGAACAGGTGCACTAGATGGGCAAGAATGGTTTTACAGGTGGGGAGGCCACTGACCACTTTTTTTTTTTTTTTTTTTTCTTTCATTAGTTTTACATTTTGGCTAGGGTCAGTGTCACTGCTGGTAGCATGAGGTGATACCTGGACCCTACAGATATTGCACAGGCAGTCCAACTCCTCCAGGATGGCACATCAATACTCTGAGAACTGGACAGGGCTGTAGAAGGTCCTTAACCCATCAGCAGGACCGGTATCTGCTCCTTTGTGCAAGGAGGAACAGGATGAGAACTGCCAGAGCCCTACAAAATAACCTCTAGCAGGCCACTGGTGTGAATGTCTCTAACCAAACAATCAAACTGACTTCATGAGGGTGGCCTGAGGGCCCAACATCCTCTAGTGGGCCCTGTGCTCACTGCCCAGCACCACAGAGCTCAATTTGGCATTTGCCATTGAACACCAGAATTGGCAGGTCTGCCACTGGTGCCCTGTGCTTTTCACAGATGAGAGCAGGTTCACCCTGATCACATGTGACAGATGTGAAAGGGTCTGGAGAAGCCATGGAGAATGTTATGTTGCCTGTAACGTCGTTCAGCATGACTGTTTTTGGTGGTGGGTCAGTGATGGTCTAGGAAGGCATATCCATGGAGGGACGCACAGACCTCTACAGGCTAGACTATGGCACCCTGACTGCCATTAGGTATCGGGATGAAATCCTTGGACCCATTGTCACACTACGGTGGTGCACTAGGTTGCTCCTGGTGCACAACAATTCCCGGCCTCCTGTGGCGAGAGTATGCAGGCAGTTCCTGGAGGAAGAAGGAATTGATACCATTGAATGGCCCCCATGCTCGCCTGACCTAAATCCATAGAATGCCTCTGGGATGTCCTGTTTAGGTCCATTAGACTGCTCCAGGTTGCATCTCAGACTGTCCGGGAGCAGCTCAGGTTTAATATGAGGGTATGTACATCAAAATTGGTGGAAGGGTTTAGGAATTACAGCTCTTAAGAGTAGCCACCCCCCCCCCCTTTTTCAAAGGACCAAAAGTAATTGGACAATTGAATCAAAAGCTGTTTCGTGGCCAGGTGTGGGCTACTCCTTTGTTAATTCTTCATCAATTAAGCAGGTGAAAGGTCTGGAGAATATTCTAAGTGTGGTATTTGCATTTGGAATCTTGCTGTGAAACCTACATCATGCGTTCAAAGGAGATGTCCATGCGAGTGAAATGGGCCATTGTAAGGCTTCAAAAACTAAACAAATCCATCAGAGATAGCAGCAACATTAGGAGTGACCAAATCAACAGTTTGGTACATTTTGAGGAAAGAACGCACTGGTGAGCTCAGAAACGTAAAAAGGCATGGACGTCCACAGAAGACAACAGTGGTGGATGATCTCAGAATCCTCTCTATGGTAAAGAGAGACCCATTCACAACATCCAGACAAGTGAAGGATACTCTCCAGGAGGGAGGTGTATCATTGTCCAAGTCTACAATCAAGAGAAGACTTCACGAGAGCAAATACAGAGGGTTCACCACAAGGTGCAAACCATTCATAAGCCTGAAGAACAGAAAAGCCAGATTAGACTTCGCCCAAAAAAATCTAAAAAAGCCAGACCAGTTCTGGAAAAGCATTCTTTGGACAGATGAAATGAAAATATTAATCTGTACCAGAATGATGGGAAGAAAGGTTTGGTGGAGGGTTGGAACAGTCATGATCCAAAGCATACAATGTCATCTGTAAAACATGGTGGAGGCAGTGTGATGACATGGGCATGCATGGCTTCCAGTGGCACTGGTCATTGGCATTTTATTGATGATGTGACAGAAAACAGAAGCAGCCGGATGAATTCCGCAGTATTTAGAGATACTGTCAGCCCAGATTCAGCCAAATGCAGCACTTTGCAGGTGCTTCTCAGTACAGATGGACAATGATCCAAAACACACTGCAAAAGCAACCCAGGAGCTTTTGAAGGAAAAGTGGAATATTCTGCAATGGCCGAGTCAATCACCTGATCTGAACCCAATTGAGCATGCATTTCACTTGCTGAAGGTAAAACTAAAGGCAGAAAGACCCACAAAGAACTGAAGACAGCTGCAGTTAGAGCCTGGCAAAGCATCAGGAGGAAACCCAGTCTTTGGTAGCGTCCATGGGTTCCAGACTTCAGGCAGTCATTGCCAGTAAAGGATTCTCAACAAAATATTAAAAATGAACATTTTATTTTATAATTATATAAATTTGTCCAATTATATTTGAGCCCCTGAAAATGGATGGACTGTGTATAAAAATAGTTGTAGTTCCTAACGTTTGTACTTTGTTTATGTTCAACCCCTTCAATTAAAGCTGAATGTCTGCACTTCAAATTAATTTGGACTGTTTTTTTGTTTTAATTTTATTGTAGTGGCATACAGAGCCAAAAGTGTGAAAATTGTGCCTGTGTCCAAATATATATGGACCTCACTGTGTTTTCAAAGTGTTCCTTTAACTTTTTTGAGCAGTGTACTTTATGTCCGTGTTTTACAATGAGGTGGGTTTTTTCTAGCTCTTTGATACTATAGAGCAGTATCTCATGCATTTGTAGAATAATGGCCTGCTGCATACTTTCGGTCAGGTGATGCTTTCACAGTTGTGGTTAAGGAATTATTGGCCTCCATTTGTCATTTTCATTAAGACACAATGTTTATTAAAACATGACACTGGCTCCAAGCCTTCCCCCAACACTATCAAAAACGAACTGTCTTTTGGCTGTTTTTTAGGATATAAACAAGGAAGTCTATAACTTCTTGGCAACTTCTGGAGCAAAATATGGCGTTGGTTTTTGGAAACCAGGATCAGGCATCATCCATCAGGTGAGACAAGAGTGTTCTGTGGTTTGTAATGGCAAAGACTGGTTACTGTAGGTTTATCTTGGATGCTGTCACCCAACAGGTTTTAGATGTAGGCTGTTTTTAGGCAGTGCTTTTTGTAAAAATCTAAATAGAAGCTGCTCTTATACATCCTTTCCCCTTAGTAAGAGGTGTTCTCTTCACTTGTATTGGCTCCAGGCCTTAGCCTGTATAAGGTCATTGTGTACAGCAAGCTCATGGGATGTTTTCAAGCAGCTTTGAAGCCTTTAAAGAACTTTTCAGTTCAGTTTGGGAATGTTAAACGGGTGTTTTAAATTTTTGAAAAAGCTATTTGCCAGGGACTAAATCGGGGCCCCAATTTACTTGTTCCTCATGACAATCTACTTGTCCAGATAAAACTTTTTTAACCAAAACTGTATTTAAATCGGACGTGATTTTAGGAATGTCGGGCTTTTAAAAACAAGAGGCTTTATATCGACTTAAACAGCGCAATGTTAAAAATATTACACGTTTATCTCCTCCTCCCCTCCCTGCCTGTCTCCAGCACCACACCCGGGGACTAACAGGGAGGAGAGAGACCTTGCAGTGTAATGAGCGCCGATTGGCTGCTCGTCAGGAAAGGGTGGGTCAGGGCTTATACTTTATCCCTTTCGCTGCCACAGCCGTTTTTTGCACAAGTTTAAAAAATTTTAGGCCTGAAGATTACATAAAACCCCCAAACATTGTATATTTTCTGAATGCAGAGACCTCAGAGAATAAGATAGGGGTGGTTCCAATTTTGTATGTTGCATGCTATTACCGCAAAATTTCAGTAAAATATACAAGTAAGTTAATTTTAAGGCACAAAAAAAAGCAATAAATTGCCTTATTTTTTTGTAAAATATGAAAGATGAGGTTGCAGCAAGTAAATATCCAACCTGTCAAACCTTTAAATTTGTGTGCACTTGTGAAATGGCAATGAACTTCAGTACCCTATATTTTCTATAGGTTGACACTTTTTTTAAAGCTCCTTTTATAGGTCACCAGTTTAGCGTTATGGAGGAGGTCTGGTGCTAAGATTATTGCTCTCATCCTGGTGTGCGTGGCAATATGTAACCTGTATCGCTATCAACCGTTTCGTGCGTAGGTGTCCCAGCTTGTGCTTTTGTTTGTACGTGTGTGTGTGTATAGTATGTGCGGGGAGTATAGTATGTGCTTGGGTGTAAATGGAATTTTTTACAATTTTAAAAAAAAAAAAAAATTTTTTTTTCTCTTTCATCACATCACAAAGTCCCCTTAATGTGGTGATTTTTTTTTTTTGTGATTGGTTCTTTGAGACATCCAAGGTTTAAAAGACCCTGGATGTCTCCCCTCTGCTCCACTGGGGATTGCTCTTTCCCAGGGATTACATTACAATCTCTCAATGGGGACCCGGACGTGACCTCATAACATCACTTCCGGGTCAGCACAAGGGGAGGGGAGCAGACTTGTCCGCTCTTCTCCCTTCCCTCTAGCCGATGGCGAGCTGGCCCCGCTGATGGGCACAAGTGGAGCCCGGGAGACCTTGCGCGCCGGGGGCACTGAGAGGCTTGCACTGTGTGGAAGCAGTCGGCGGCAGCGCTGCTACCGATTGCTTCACCTGACAGGTGAGTCCTGCTGCTTGCTTGCAGCAGCAGGGCTAAAGGTAGAAACTGACTATCTGCCCAGAACTACTTGTCCCGGGTGTCAGGCAATAGGAATCCAACATCCCTGGTTAAAGCAGATTTTCACAGAAATTTGAACCTCCATATTCCACACAATTTGGAAGCTCAGGAGAGCTTTGAGTGGAATGTAAATTGTAAAATCAATGAATTTTGAGTATCGGATGTGGAGATTGTATCCCCATTTTGGAGATTAAATGGGGTATAGAAGACCTGGAATTGGGACTCTTGGAAACGGTTACCAGGTTTTTTCAGGGAACTTGTATAGAAGTACTCCTCAGCAAATATTTCGTTTTCAGAAATGGTAACGCATTGCATTGTTCTTGGGCTTAATCAATTCGGTGAACATTTTAAAGGGCTCAGGTTGGTTTGTGGGCTTTTATAAATGTGGGTAAGTACTGGTCTAAGCACCCTAGGAATGGGGAAAACTGCAGTTATGTACAAGTAAAAATTGCCCTGAAATAAGGGACCCTTAGGTCTTTGAGACCATGGCTGACAAGCGGCTCCTCTTTGAGGGAAGCTTTTATTGATGGGATGAGACCTCCTGGTCCTCCTGGGTGTCCAGCTGCTGCTTGTGAAGCCATCAATGCTATGAGAGACGGCAGTGAACAGGCTGAGTTTTCGCTGAACTTGGTGCTGTCACTGATAATGTGCAGTCTTTCCCACACAGCTTTAGGTGTTGGAAATTTCAGGCAGTGACCTTGGTGTGACTTCAGGGCCTTTTACAGAGAGCCTCTGACACTCCTAAAGTTAGTGTCAGTATATGATGAAAACTGATACATTTCAAACATTATGTATGTGAGCAGCCTGAGAAGTTTTATCTGATTTTGGTGTCTGTGTCCCTAGACTCAAAAATAAATTAATTAATAACAACCCTTTCTAATAATTCCTATATTGTGGCTGTGCTCTTTTTCTTTAGATCAAAAATCTTTATAGATAATTTATTGGTATACCTTGCAGTCACCAATAGTGTGGTGGCAATGATCTGCAGGCTCACAGAGCCTTTGCAGCATTGCCACCGCACTGCACACTCTCTTCCTTCAATGTAGTAGTGTCTACACACTATCTGCTGTGTGAATGGGGGTGTGTCCCTTCCCTCCAATCGGCTCTCAGAGCCCTCCTCATGGCATTCTGCAGAGTGTAACTTCAGATCCCTGCCTCCTTTCTGAAAGCTCATACAAGCTGTATAAATTCTTGATTTTTGAACTGCTGTAGAGAAGAGGGCTGCTAATACAAATTAGGTGGATTAATTTCCTCTGTGTATCACCTGAGGCCAGTCATTTTACTGGGTATATGTAAGGAATTACAACCACATAGTCTTAACAGCAGCCCATGAGCCAGCATGGCATTTTAACATCAGCTCACATTGCAGAGCATTCTCAGCTGAGCCAGAATTTAATGATCAGACTAAGACAAGACAAGATTCACAGGTGGTGCACTGTACAAGCCTGTATGCTGCCCTCCTGTTGAGTACAGTGACAGCCAACGAAAGATTGTGTAAAGTAGAGTGGAGCTGTCAATGATCTGCCTGAAGGCATTGGTGGGTGGATCAGATCTAATTCCTGACTGATCGTGCCAATCCATTTTGCATGGCCTGAGAAGAGGGCCTTGAAATGCTGAGGTGATGTCATAAGACAAGTGATCTACTCTGGCTTCGCTCCCCTGGCCAGTCCAGGGGGAAATTGCGTGACCACCACTGTAGCAAAGCATAAAGACATTTTAATAACGAGTTTTCAGTGTAAATCGGTGGCTGATGGTGACCTATCATTTTAGATGTAGGCACACTATTGGGGTTTAGAACCACTTTTAATGGTTTTAAAAGCATTAAATGATCAGTTTAGAGATGACCACAAGTCATAAATTATGGCCCTAGGCGAGATGTTCTTCTTCTGACATTCGTAGTGATGCATCACATGCGCTGCGATTTAATGTTGTGCATGCCTTATGAAACTGTAAAAGGACATGTCTAGCTAAAAAGATTTTGAAGTAATAAATGCCTTTTTGGCATTCCTGAGTTCTATACAGTCTATCACAGAGCAGTAACGTTTAATTTTATGTAATGGCAGATGACCTAATACCTGGTACTGTAACTTTGTTCCATCCTAATGTTCAGCATAGCACCTGTAAGAATCTGTAAGTTAAGCTGGCCATACATGATACAATTTTATGTCCAATGTCTTGTCAATTTTCCTTTAGAATTACCTTCAACTATGTAGCGCAAGGGCCTGCCTAATTGAATACAACCGAAATTTGTTTAGCTTTGACCTCCTATTATATGGTTTTTGGTAAATCCAAAGCAAATTTCTCTAGAAAATTGTTTAATGTGTGGCCAGCCAAAGTTCTGCTAAGTAGAAATATCCACAGATAATCACTTTCCCCATTGTACCACATCAATGATTACATTCCTTGTGCAGCTGTACCAAGAAAAGTCTAAGGCTGGCCATACATTATATAATTTTCTTGAGATCTTTGCATAGATTGTCCAAAAACCATACAATATGAGGTCAAACCTAAGCGATACTTTAAATTGTATCCAATTGGGTATGCCCTTGCACTACATAGCTGAAGATAAATCTAAAGGAAATTGGACAGAAATTGTAAGAAAATTGTATAGTGTATGGCCAGCCTTAGTTTCAGGATTTTGCTTTAGAGCACAACATTTAATTGGGAAAGCTTGCAGGACCAGTGATTATCTATCTGTTCCTGGGCATGACCTGAGGCATCCTTTTATTTGTAAGTTTGTACATATTTGCTTTGCCAGATGCATTTTTTATTTTTTAAATTTTTTTTTTAGATTATCCTGGAAAATTATGCCTATCCTGGAGTGCTCCTGATTGGTACAGATTCTCATACTCCAAATGGAGGAGGCCTTGGGGGTATTTGCATTGGTGTTGGGGGTGCTGATGCTGTGGATGTCATGGCTGGAATTCCCTGGGAACTCAAATGTCCCAAGGTAAGATGTTTTACACTTGATGACCTTTTTTTTCCATGCCACATATGTTTACTAAAGTGTTTTCTATAGGAGACAGTCCTGACTTGTTTAGCAATCACTGAACACAGTGCGCACATGATTGCCAGTGTTAGCTGATGAAACTGAAATAAAAGTGTGAATTTGATGTACCAATAATTGTAAAATGCATTTGTATTGCACTAATATACAAAAGCCCAAGATTACTTCTATTGGTAATCTTTTTTTTCCACCGCATTAACACGACAGCCAAACGAGGGACTGCTCTCCCACCTGTTTAAGACAGTAGAGTTCTAGTATAAATCTAGCTAATATTAAAAATGCTCCCTCCCCTCCCTCCTGACATCTATTCTGACTAGCCTGTGTAAGAAATCTGTATACTTGCCTTTTTTTTTTTTTTTTCAGGCTGCTCCAGTCATGAAATTGCTCTCTCCTGTCAGCCAGCACTGGATGCAGGCTAGAGGAGTGCTCAACAGCTGGCACTGCCTGGCAGCAGTGATGTCACTCATGGGACTCACTATGGCCCATCTGTTAGCGCTCCCTCCCGTCCCCTGCAGCTGCCGCTGGCTGCCTTAGGGGAGGTGGATGTGAATGGAGCGGCCTGAAAATGTGTAAGCATACAGATTGATCGTTCACAGGTTAGCCAGCATGGGTAATAAGATTACATGTAAACTAAGAATCACAATCGTCCCTAACCCTCAAGGGGTGTACAATCTAAGGTCCCTAACTCACATTCATACCTACACATACTAGGACCAATTTAGACAGGATCCAATTAACCGACCAGCATCTATACAAACTGTCGATTGTGATTTTATATACGAGTGTATTGACACTATCAAATTTCTCCATTGAGTGTTCCCACTCTAGTATCAAACAAACCTTTTTATATATGAATTTATGTTTATATAAAATCCTTCAAACTCCCCTTTCTTTTTTGTTTGTGTTTTTTTTTATTGGACATAATTTTACATTTTGATACTTTATTTGGAGCATTGGTTATGGTGAATTTATTCACACATAACAGTCAGGTCCATAAATATTGGGACACCGACACAATTCTAACATTTGTGGCTCTATACATCACCACAATGGATTTGAAATGAAACGAACAAGATGTGCTTTAACTGCAGACTGTCAGCTTTAATTTGAGGGTATTTACATCCAAATCAGGTGAACGGTGTAGGAATTACAACAGTTTATGGTGCCCCCCACTTGTTAAGGGACCAAAAGTAATGGGACAGAATAATCATCAGCATTTTATCATCATAAATCAAACTTTCACTTTTTAATACTTGGTTGCAAATCCTTTGCAGTCAATTACAGCCTGAAGTCTGGAACGCATAGACATCACCAGACACTGGGTTTCATTCCTGGGGATGCTCTGCCAGGCCTCTACTGCAACTGTCTTCAGTTCCTGCTTGTTCTTGGGGCATTTTCCCTTCAGTTTTGTCTTCAGCAAGGGAAATGCATGCTCAATCGGATTCAGGTCAGGTGATTGACTTGGCCATTGCATACCATTCCACTTCTTTCCCTTAAAAAACTTTGGTTGCTTTTGCAGTATGCTTTGGGTCATTGTCCATCTGCACTGTGATGCGGCTTCCAATGAGTTCTGAAGCATTTGGCGAATATGAGCAGATAATATTGCCCGAAACACTTCAGAATTCATCCTGCTGCTTTTGTCAGCAGTCACATTATCAATAAATACAAGAGAACCAGTTCCATTGGCAGCCATACATGCCCACGCCATGACACTACCACCACCATGCTTCACTAATGAGGTGGAATGCTTAGGATCATGAGCAGTTCCTTTCCTTCTCCATACTCTTCCCATCACTGGTACAAGTTGATCTTGGTCTCATTTGTCCATAGGATGTTGTTCCAGAACTGTGAAGGCTTTTTTAGATGTCGTTTGGCAAACTCTAATCTGGCCTTCCTGTTTTTGAGGCTCACCAATGGTTTACATCTTGTGGTGAACCCTCTGTATTCACTCTGGTGAAGTCTTCTCTTGATTGTTGACTTTGACACACATACACCTACCTCCTGGAGAGTTTTCTTGATCTGGCCAACTGTTAAGTGTGTTTTCTTCACCAGGGAAAGAATTCTTCGGTTATCCACCACAGTTGTTTTCCGTGGTCTTCCGGGTCTTTTGGTGTTGCTGAGCTCACCGGTGCGTTCCTTCTTTTTAAGAATGTTCCAAACAGTTGTTTTGGCCATGCCTAATATTTTTGCTATCTCTCTGATGGTTTTGTTTTGTTTTTTTCAGCCTAATGATGGCTTGCTTCACTGATAGTGACAGCTCTTTGGATCTCTTCTTGAGAGTTGACAGCAACAGATTCCAAATGCAAATAGCACACTTGAAATGAACTCTGGACCTTTTATCTGCTCATTGTAATTGGGATAATGAGGGAATAACACACACCTGGCCATGGAAGAGCTGAGAAGCCATTTGTCCCATTACTTTTGGTCCCTTAACAAGTGGGAGGCACATATGCAAACTGTTGTAATTCCTACACCATTCACCTGATTTGGATGTAAATACCCTCAAATTAAAGCTGACATTCTGCAGTTAAAGCACTTCTTGTTCGTTTCATTTCAAATCCATTGTGGTGGTGTATAGAGCCAAAAATGTTAGAATTGTGTCGCTGTCCCAATATTTATGGACCTGACTGTATATTGAGGTTAAGCTCTGCATTGAGGATTGTAACTAATTCTGTTTACATTTTTTCATGGGGATTAATACAGCAGCACACTTAGGGATTTATTTATGTATATTCTATTGTAAAGCGCTGCTTAAACTGTTGTGGGGTGCTATATAAATCCTGTATAATAATAATCACATTTATTTTATAACCAGAGCTCATGGTACCCTACACCTAAAGGGGAAAGGTCCTGGTTCAGTAATTGATAAAAGCCTTCGATCCCCAAAGAAACTCACTCTGGTCAGGAGATAACCTTATACATTTGAGCAGTGGTCTCCAAACTGTGGCCCAAGGGGCAGATGTGGCCCTTTTGCTAGCCTTTATCTGGCCCTTGGGGCACTATTCCTAATGCTGACACCAAAAGTGGGGCATAATTCCCCCAACTGACACCAGCAGTGGGACACTATTCTTCCCACTAATATCAATGATGGGGCCCTATTCCATCCACTGACATCAATGATGGACCAATATTCCTTCCAGTGATCGCAATGATGGGGAACTCCTCATCCTCCTGACCACAGGCCATATGCAACTGACCACACCCGAGACCTTTTTTTTTTTTTTTTTTACTCGCTAATGTTGGGCTTGAGACTTTGTACCCCAATGTTTGGGCCACGGTCGGCCCCTCCTAAAGTCTGAAGGATAGTAAACTGGCCCTTTTTTGTTTGGAGACCCCTGCATTTTGCATAAACTTCCTTCTGCAACTTACAAGCAAAGTGTAAAAATTCTCTGCTGAAATTTTCAAAGCCACTTGGGCCTAATGAAATGGAAGAAATGTTATTGTCTTCCAGAACTATTAAATGGCTTAAAAGTTTACCAGATGAACCCCATCATAAACCTTTTTAATGTGCATACACCAATTAACAGGGAAAATTATAATCAAAGAATAAATGGTGAGTGCAAGACAAAAAAGAAAAGGAAAAAATAAAGCAGCTAGCACAACGTGGCAAGCCCTCTGTCTCCACCAAAAAAACACTATAATATCAATGTACAGCGCTAACAGGGAAGATTAGTCTGAACTTCAAGGACTTAAGGCGGTTGTAAAGCGTGTGTTGTGTTTTTTGGTTTTTTTTTTGGTGGTTTTTTGTTTGTGTGGTGTGTGTGTGGGGGGGGGGTTTTTTTTTTTTTTTTTTTTTTTTTTTTTTTTTATTGCTAAAATGGCTGTACTTGCCTGCTCTGTGCAGTGGTATTGCACAAAATGGGGTTCCTTACCTCTTCCGGAGTTCCCCGCCAGCACGGTCTGCTGCTCCTCTCCTGTGTGTGCCCCTATAGCAAGCTATGTGCTATGGAGGCAAATGTGTGGGTGCACTCCTGAGCTAGGCCATGTGCATCCACAGAATCACCGTAATGCTATTGTGATCAGCCTGCCCGCACGGTTATTGCTCCGCCTCCTTTTTATTACACCAATGTCAAGCTCCTCCTATTGCTTGCTGTGTACATTCTTGCACTAGCACACAATCACAATGCCTAACATGGATTTTTGAAATGGTGGAAAAACCAGTCATAGATGAGAAGGCTGCAGTTCTGAAGTTCAGCTTTTAAGGTATTGAGGAATTCGTCTTAGTCAGGAGAATTTGTTAAAGCCTTAAAGTGAAATTAAACTCCTATGAGCTTGTCTGCACCATATGATATGGCAGACTTAACTGTCAAATGAAGCCCTTCAGCTGTTCCCGAGCGCTTCGTCCTTCGTCCGATCTTCCTTCTGGGTTTGGTCACAGGAGAATAAGTGCAAGCAAAACCAAAAGCTTGTGGCATGGACACCTGACAAATAGACTGCATCTCTGCCCATGAAATGCAGTGACAATGAAGTATGATTACCTGGTATATTGCCACTATAACAAATATGTTAAACCATCAATGCATGTCCTCTCCACTATTCACCAGCGCTATTGGTTGGGGTGCTGTGTCTTGGTTACAAACCACGACACATTCCCTTGGCAACCCGCAGCCCTGCTGCTGGCCATGGAGGATGCGGTCATACATCTGACTTCTGTGTAAAGCTCCCAGTGTCATGAGAGCCAATGAAGGCTAACCCTAACCTATAAACTCACTATACAAGACTGTTTTTTGTATGATTATATCAATGTAAATGAGTGCCATATTGATGGTTACTAGTGTTGTGTAAACTGAACTACCCAAATAAGCAATTCAAAGGGAGATTGAATATATTTGCTTAAACAGTATTTCTTTCCAATGAGAAACAGGAAATGGACTACATCATACTAATAGTAATGCGGTAAGATACTGCATCAACATTGGCTACACTGTAAGTGTCCATGAATACAAAACAATTTTGTGTCCTAGCAAATTGACCCCAGTGTCATGTTTAGCGTAATCTGGAGTGAATGGAGATCTGGAATGTTCTGCATCATGGCTGAGGCTAGAGTTGTGTATTGCAAGTCAAAACTATGCAGACCCGAGGCCTATACTGGAATGCTAACATATGCAAAACTGACTCAAATATGTTTAGGCCTGATCTGCAGGAGAGGTACATTTGTGTGTGTTTTTGTGTGTTGGACGTGGTTTCTGCCATCCATGCAGATTTCTAAGATGGAAGTGGGTCATCTTTTATTCCAGTATCACTCAGGTGGAAATTGCTAATTAAAACACTTCCAGGTGTTGTGTGTTCAAGCACTAAAGTTGCATCTGCTTGGTCTTCCAAATACCATGTCCTGCATCCGAGTACTTGGCCTGACAGTGGTACAGAGCTGGGGCCAGGCTGGCCCATCAGGATGGAGGCATGATCTCTCTATTAAGTGGGTAGGTGTCACATGCCATAGAATTTGGTCTCATCCTTGCCTTGGCTTAGAGTGGGCAAAGTGATTACACTTTAGGGAGCCCTTGCAGATCTATGCTTGGGAATCATCCTAAATGAGAACTGCCAGGCCACCTTTTTATAACCAGCATCGCTACCAAAGAGTGTACTGGGTGAAAAATTATAAAAAAAAAAAGTGACTCCACAACAAAAAATAATCTTTACATCATAGCCTGATAGGAAAAAACACTGAGGTGAAGGTGGGTGGGGCTTTTAATTTTTTTGTTTTCTGTGGAGAAGCAGTCTCTTGGTTGGTTGTCGTGTAGGAGAGCAAAACATTATAAAATATATATAAAGTGCATAATTTCTAAAGCTGAAGCCACTGTCTGTAGAAATCAATGTTTAAAAAATTCATAACTGAGTCAGTATGCTTTTTGGGTGCAACATTCAGAATGTTATAAATGAATTGTTGAAATTCTCTACTATACACACTCCAAATTCTTCAAAATCTTGCTACTTTTTTTTCCCTTTTAGGTCATTGGTGTTAAATTAACTGGAAAGCTATCTGGCTGGTCTTCCCCAAAAGATGTAATTCTAAAAGTAGCCGGCATTCTCACAGTGAAAGGTGGCACAGGAGCCATTGTAGAGTACCATGGTCCAGGAGTGGACTCTATATCCTGTACTGGTATGGCCACCATCTGTAACATGGGAGCTGAGATTGGAGCCACAACATCTGTGTTCCCTTATAACCATCGGATGAAAACTTATTTAGAAAAAACAGGCCGCTCAGGTTTGTATGTTTTAACACTGTTTGAAAAGCTCAACTATTTGCATGTTACTAACCACTCGTTCACGTTAGTGCAGGCTGCTGTGCCTGCGTTTCATGCAAGGAAAAGGTGCGTGCACCTTTTCCAAAACGCATCCACACGGGGGGCTGCTCAACAGATAAGGCGTACAGGTGTCAGTGATAGCTGCCCACTACAGTTTGTGTGTGTGTGTTTTTTTTTTTTTTTTTTTTTTTTTTTTAGTGCGAGAGGGAGGCTGTAAATGCTGGGGTCACATTAGCTGAGTGATGGAGAAAAACTGGGGGGAAAAGAGCAACATTGGAATACTGACCAGTGTGTTTTTTTGCTTTGGAAGAATAAATCCCCTCTAACATTGGGTATCCTACATGTGTTGATGCTGCGTTTTTTATATAAAACCATTAAAATATTTTTTTACACTTTAGAATGGGGTGCTTTGAGACTGTCCATAATTTTCAAGGGTGTCTTGGGACTGTCCATAAATGTATAGAGGGTGCCTTGCCTAAAGAGAAAAAATTTCATCATACAAAACTAGAGCAGCTTCTGTAGCTGTGACTGTTTGTTTAGAGGTTCTAAAGCCAAAAGGTTTATTATTATTATTATTATTTTTATTATTATTAATAAAAAAAAAAAAAAAAAAAATATAATATAAATATATAATATATATATATATATATATATAATTTTACCTTTAATAGGTATACAGATTTTGGCTTTCAGTGCACATTATTTACATGGTTTATCATGATACCATACTGCCTGAGAAAAGGCCCATTACGTTTGCATTTTCATGGATGTGCAATGACACATTCCCTGACTCATCTGCGCTTACGTGTATATTGCTTATACCAGACTGAGAAACTTACATCTTGTGACTGCTTCTAGTTTTTGTGTATTAATTTAACAGTCATGGTAGTGGTTTTCAGCCATGCTTTACAGAAGACTGTCAAAGAATAGAAGCTTGATGCTGAACTGCCTGCATATGTTTATAAAGCTATACCAATTATAAAAAAAAAAAAAAAAAAAAAATACATACCTTAACCACTTGCTCGCCAGAGGATTTACTCTCGTCGGCGCTGAAAGGAATGATTTTCTTTTCCCCTCAGAGACCCCCGGTCTGTGGAGAGATTCCTGGTTTATCAGCAGAATTCTGGGAACACCCCTTGAACACGGAAATCACGACAGCTTATGTTCAGAGATGTTCAAAGTTTATTAGACATTAATAAGATTATATAGACTACAGATAATAAATAAGGGAGGGGGGGGAGCGAGTTTCAAAACTGTAACTTGTAACTTTCCATCATGAGCTAACTACATGAAACATGACATATACATTTCTTGGTACAAATTGTTTTGTCTAACTTTTAGAGAGAAAAACAGACAGACAAAAACATTGTCAGGGTCGTGTTAGCTTCTGTTGATACATCCTTGAACAACTGAAAACAGTTTCATTAAACTTCTAATAAAAAAAACTAACTTAATACTTAATACTTAAAATGGCGTACATAATACAAAATGGAAGTTATCTAGATTCTTTCAGGCGCTGCATTACTTTAACTGACAATTGCACGGTCATGCAACGCTGCACCCAAATTAAATTTGGTTTTCTTTTTTTTTCTCACGAATAGTTTTTTTTTTTCGGTGGTATTTGATTGCCTCTGCAGTTTGGGTTTTTTTTTTTTTTTTTTTGCGCTATAAAAAACCCAACAATTTTGAGAACAATATTTTTGACTTTTTTCCATTAAACATGTCCAGGAAGGAAAAATTAAAAACACATTTTAGTCATAAATTTAGGTTAAAATGTATTCTGCTACATATCTTTGTTTTAAAAAAAAAAAAATCCCAATACGTGTAAATTGGGTTTACGTGAAAGTTAGTATCCACAAATGGCGGTATAGATATTGGAATTTTTTATTTTCCTTTTTTTTTTTTATATACTAATAATGGTGACAATCAGTGACTTTTTTTTAGCGGGACTGCGGCAGGCATTCTGACACTCTGGGGGAACTAATTGTCACTGACATCCCCAGTGACACCAGTACAGTGATCAGTGCTAATAAAAAGCACTGACACTGTACTAATGACACTGAGCAGAAAGGGGTTAACATCTGTGGCAATCAAAGGGTTAACTGCGTGTGCAGTTTACTGTGTAAGCACATTGCTTTGTATTACTCTGCTATGCAGAGCAATATATTCACGGTGATTGCCGGCTGGGACCCGGTGATCAACATGGTGGCGGATGTGCGGCTCACGTACGCACCCCCTTAATCTGGACATGCAAAATCACATGTGTTTTTATATACACGTGATTTTGCGCAACCCCTGCCGCCCTGTAGCAGTATTTCTGCTACGGGGCGGCGGGGGGAAAGCGGTTAGTTATGACTTGCCATCTGCCCCTTTTTATCACCTTACATTGGGAGAAAGCGAAGCAGCCTTGTTATGTTAAGGAACAGGAATAGAGCAGAGTGGAAAAGATGAGCTCATAAGTCTGCTGCTTCATCTTTGGCTGTTCAGCCATCAGCTGAGGAAGGACAAAATCAGATGGCATTACCAACTGGTCTGGTCTCTAGGTTGATTATTCTCCTGAGATTTACAAATTCTTTCCAGGAAGGACAAATTTTGATCTAAATCTGAAATGTTGATTCATTTTCTGTGTTTCAGGAATTGCATCTTTGGCAGAGGAGTTCAGGAGTAACTTGGTACCAGATGAAGGGTGTGAATATGATCAGCTGATTGAACTTAACCTGGATGAGGTAAATACAGATGGATGAACCTGTAGAACTCGTAACAAGCTTCCACTTTGTTTTTCAGGTTTTTTTTTGTTTTCTTCCGATGACAAGTGAACCTTAGCTTGGATCTGGCTGAATCTGCAGGCGCATCCCTGAGTGTACATCCATGTGGGACCAGTGCACTGATCAGTCTGCGCTCTGCGCTCTGATCTGTGACTGTCCTGCACAGATGTACACTCGATGCGCTTGGTGATCTGTGTGGCTGTTTGCCTGTTGATATGTTTGGGATGGTTGCACAGAACACCTGTGCAGGTAAAGATGGCCCTTTGTACGAGTGTACGGAACAGTATGTACATGTGAATGACACCTAATTATTCCTTGCTTCCAACAGCTGAAGCCACACATCAATGGACCTTTCACCCCTGATCTGGCAACACCTGTATCTCAGGTGGGAGCTGTTGCAGAGCAGAAGGGATGGCCTTTGGATATCAGAGTTGGTTAGTTTGCAAGGAAACTGGTTTAAACTTTTTTTTTTTTTTTTTTTTTTTTTTTTTGGAGGGGGGGCTTATTTGTAATGCAAAATAGTATTAAACTTGCTTCTTGAATTTCAGGTCTTATTGGCAGCTGTACAAATTCCAGTTATGAAGATATGGGTCGGGCAGCAGCTGTAGCAAAGCAGGCTCTTGCGCATGGTCTGAAGTGCAAATCCAAGTTTACAATCACTCCAGGTTCTGAGCAAATCAGAGCCACCATCGAAAGAGACGGTTATGTAAGTGCTGGTTGTCTGACATTCTAGTAGTGCAGATTTTGAATTTGTACAGATGACTTTTGACACTTGTTACATATAAGTAATTAATGGCAAGTTTGAAAACCCAAATAGTATGGGAAAACAAAATCCAAAGCCAGTGCAGTTCATGTACAGTCAAGTTCATAGGAAATTTAGAAATTCCAGGTTTAATTTCACTTTAAGTAGTTTGGTTATGTGCCAGAACAGTCTGGCTGCTGTATCGGACTGTAAAGGTTTTGGCTACATACAGTAAGTGGTGCTGTGTTTTGGCAATAGTAAGAGGGACTTCTCCTTTTACTGCCATATATAAAGATTCAGTCTTGGCATATCTCTGCAATTCTGGAGAAGCCTTGTATTTTTTCAGTGAATAAGTCTTCCTCTGGCCAGGGTGGAGAGGCAGGCGGTTTATCACAATCTCCACATCCGCCAATCCTACAATTGTGCCAAACATACTATTTGTGCATCTTTACTGAATAATCCTTATGGGTCCCCGAAAAAAGCATGTTTATGCCATACTGTAATTCAGAAATGGGAATGGCTTTGATTTGCTGTTTGTGACAGTAGCTGACCAAGTTTATATTGTTGGGAACCACTTGTATATGTAAATGAAGCCTGAAAGCCTTAAATCAACATTTTAGCCTGCAACTTTTAGTATGGTGGTGTTATTTGAAACCTATCCAAACTGCTATAAACAGGAGTACTTTACTGAGCAGCAGCAATGTAATAATGCTGTGGGAAGTGGGGTCCTATACCATGTAAATTTTACATACTGTAATGCCCAGCATGTCCATGTTAATTGATCTACTACTTTTCAGTTTGATTTTGAGCAGAAAAAAAATACTGCATTTTCCTTTCCTTTTGACCAGGCTGATGTCCTCCGTAATGTTGGTGGTGTAGTACTTGCAAATGCTTGTGGACCCTGTATTGGTCAATGGGACAGGTATGTTGGATTTTAAATGAATAGGAAAAACAAAATGCCATGTATACTGCTGTTATCTGGTTATCCCAAAACCTAAAAGGACATCTCTTACCAGGTCAAATAATGAGTGGAAGCCATTAAAATAAAGCCTGAGATCAAAAATCACAATAAAATCAGACTTTCGCTCAAATTCATACACTTGAATGTAATTGCTAAACAGCCTGTCCACTTCCTTTAAATATATATTTTGACAATATAATTAATATTTGTAACCTTTTTGGGCACATGATGGGTGAAGCTTGTAACGTTTTTTTTTTGTAATGTTTTTTTTTTTTTCTTTGTGTTAATGAGCAGAAATTTAAGAAAATAAAAAAAATGTATAGCAGCATATGTTGGGAATTAACATATCTTTTTTGAGAGGTGTTAGTTTTTACGTTTCCATTACATGAAGGGATAAGAAGTGGAGGAGGTTGAGCCAAAGTCCAATTTTATTGTGGTTGATTTTCCTTTTTTTTTTTTTTTTTTTTTTTTTTTATTTTTTGTTTTATCTGGTTATCCATATAAAAATCCCTGAATATTCGCAAAAGAGTGGCATCTTTAAAATTTAGACTCTGATTTGGATTTAAAGCTTTTTGATATTAGTTTACATCATAGTGTAATCAGTACACACATGCAGAGGTACAACTGACTTTATGCATGTGTTCTCTATAGACAAGACATTAAAAAGGGAGAGAAAAACACGATTGTGACTTCATACAACAGAAACTTCACTGGAAGAAATGATGCCAACCCTGAGACTCATGCCTTTGTTACATCTCCAGAGGTATGTTACTTTGCGTTTGTTTAGAATTTCACTATTAAATTTAAGATACGGTAGTTGCCATATCTGCTTTAGCCAAAGTAAATGGACTTCTGTTATGGATTGACTGTTGTGACTGAGAAATTGTGTGTGGGTGTGTGTGTGTGTGTGTGTGTGTGTGTGTGTGTGTGTGTGTATGTATATGTGTGTGTGTGTATAATGTGTGTGTGTGTGTGTGTATATGTATATTTGTGTGTGTGTATATATATATATATATATATATTCTCCCTACCTAACTTGCTTGAAACATTACCTCCAGTTTTTTTTAAATATGAAATAACTTAAAGTATATACATACACTGTTCTGTCTAACATTATGACAAACTACATAATATTGATTAGGCTTGGCACCATGACCAGTCTGTTGCTGCACAGCCCCATACACAGAAAACTGTGATTCACTGTGTGTTCTGACACCCTTCAATTGGAACCAGCATAAACTTTTTCAGCAATTTGAACTACAGTAGCTCTTCTATTGGATTGGACTACACAGGCCATCCATCACTCCCCACATGCATCAGAGAGTCTTGGCTGCCCATGACTGTCTTGCCAGTTCAGTTTTCCTCCTTTTGGACCACTTTTGGTAGATCCTGACCCCTGCAGACCAAGAAGATTCCACAAGAGCTGCAGTTTTGATGATGCTCTGACCCAGTCATCTAGCTGCTACAATTTTGGCCCTCATAAGAGTTGCTCAAATATTACATTACATTATTAACACTTGCCCATGCAACCCTTTTTTTTTTTTTTTTTTTTTTTTTTTTTTTTTTTTTTTTTTCCCTGCTTTCAACACAATCAGATGTCATTGTAACAAGATAATCCATATTATTCACTACCTGTCAGTGGTCATAATGTTATGGCCGATTTGGTGTGTGTGACATTGATTTAGATGTGTTTGTGTGAGGTATAGATAGTGTATATGGCTGTGAGATGGATCGAGCTATTCTACAAATCTATCTTTGTGTGTGAGAAATATAAAATAGTCTATTCATCTATCTTCCAGTACCACCATCAGGTGTTCCTCTTTTAAGATGAAGACAGTCCCTAGTTCTGTTCATTCTAGGCCTGTTAAGCCATCTGCTTTTGCCCAATCCTTAGACTGCCTCTAGACATGCCAAACGTTTGGCTTTCTGTGCACCCCAATGGACAGAGGATTTTTGTACTCACCATAAAATCCTTTTCTGGGAGTCCATTCAGGGGCATGAAGCCCAGCCCCTTTTGTGTTTTGAGTATGCTCTTGGTATTGCTTGTTGTGGGAGGGGTTATCCTGGACTGGCCTACATAAAAAAAAATGTTCTAATCCTGCAAGTGGTGGGATACCCCAAAAGAGCGTGCAAAAATCCCATTTTCCTGCATATGCACTGTGTAGCCTCAATACCATTTTGGTTGTTTTCAATGTTTTCACTATCCTTCCTGCGCCACAATTTAATGCTGAAACAATCTTGTTGGTGTTACTGATGAGGGACACACAGACCCTGGGCCTGTCCATGCCCTTTGAGAAGGGGAATAATGCACATTGCTAGCAGTGGTATCTAAGCAAGAGGTGAAATGTTATCCCTGATTTGGTAAAAAAAAAAACAACCAAGGCTTGATTTCTTTGCTTGCTACTGTCGGACAACAGTTAGAACACACTTGCAGGAGGAGGGAACAGTGGTGAGCTTCTCCATTGTTCTGCTTCTTTGTCCCAATGCAGACTGAGGCAGTTTGCTGTCTTATGTGTATTTAAGTTCAATAGAGTGATGGTACTGACCTGGTTATGCTTTCTGGCTGAGATACATGGGTCACAAGACTGGCTGAGCACCATTAAAAATGTGTTGGCAAGTAAAAAGGTGCATTTGGGTGTTTTTGCTAGAGCTCCGCTTTTAACAGGTTAATTAACTGTCAAAAAGCCTGTCAAAGCCAAAAGGAGGTGCCACGCTGTATATCCACATATTCTTCTATTGCGTGAAAGCTACTTATGCCAGTTTGTTCATCTTTATTCCTTTTTAACTAGATGTAGCATTTATTGTACATAACTCACTTTTTTGTATTTGCAGATAGTCACAGCTTTGTCAATTGCTGGAACCTTAAAATTTGACCCAGAAAAAGACTTTCTTACTGGTGCTGATGGAAAGAAGTTTAAGCTGGAGCCACCAGATGCAGATGAGCTGCCAAAATCTGTGAGTGTTAATTTCTTAGGGCTTATTAATACCAGATGTTTGCACCTTGCTGGATTTCCTACAGTGTCCGTTAACTCAACGGTGAAGTGGTGGTGTGTGCTGGAAAAAGTGCTGCTTGCAACACCAATATGGGGAATATAAACTGTACTGAAATGTTACTCCTGACCGCCTAATAAAATTCTGTGAAAGAGACCGTGCTCTGCATAGAGTTCAGCACTGCCTCCCAGCGTTCAGTGGGGCTTGCTGATGTGACCTTACCCTAAATGGTTTGATATGCTAAAGCTTCACTTTATATTTGCAGTCATCCTTGTTTTTAATCACCCAGCTTTGGGTTTTAAATGCCAACTGTGCCCAATTATCCTGTTCTTAAAGCCCAGAAGAGTTTTTACTACCAAAACTGCGCCATGCAAAGTACTATAAAATGACTTACAAGTAGGTGGCTTTAAAAGTATTTGCCATTTAGGAGATATTGCCTGATGTTTCTGTGATGTCACTGTGGGAGAGAACTGTATGTAAACAATAGTTATTTTGGACTCTACACTATTGTGTGTGTTCACATTTTTGTGGCACAATTTGTTGTACATTTATATTGGGTCATTTGTACACTTATTTTTTTGTTACACTTCCCTTATTACCCGCACATTGGGCATTACGTCCTTATGTGTTATTTGATGGTTATATTTCATTTATGCTTGGATTTGTTCACACTATATAAATAAGAGTAGCGCAGCACCTCTGCTTGTTTTTTTCACCATTTTTCAGTTGGGTGCTTATATTTCTACATGTATGTTGATATATTTATGATCACGGATCTGTTGACTCATTTTGTTTTCATTTCCACTGATCCATTTATTATTTTGTTTTTGTTTTGTTAGTGTTATGTAGTTTATATACACCTTATATAGGATTAGCGCAGCATCACCCTTGTCCCGTTGTTTTCCACTATTTGGTATCATATTTGGGTGCTAGCAGCCATTCCTGGTTCTGGGGTTCAGGGTTGTTTTCTTTGCGGTATAGTGGCAGCGCAGGAGGCTCTTTTTGTGTTAAAAAAATATTGTTTTTTTTTTTTTTTTTTTTTTCCCCTCTCAAAATTCTTTTTTTTTTTTTTTTTTTTTTTTTTTTTTTTTATCAAATACCACCGAAAGAAAGCTCTATTCATGGGGAGGAAAAAAGGATGTAAATTTTGCCGGTCGACTGTGCATTTTCTCAGTTAAAATAATGCAGCGCCATAATGCAAAAAATGGCCTGGTGGGGGGGGGGGGGGGGGGGGGGGGTTGGAGGAGATGTGTTATTAGCTTTGTCCAAAAAATAACTATCTCACAGCACAGGATGTGCTGTCAAAAGACCTTTCCTGAAACAAAATACTGCTTTTTATCTGTTTTTACTGCAGCTGACATAATCCTTACATCAGAGGCAACACTGACATGTAAACAAACTCTAGAGCAACCAGGTGATTTATCGTTTTACACCTTTTTACAATGCTGGGAACCCGCTGACCCTCCTCCCCCATCCCCTCATATGTCTTGGGCTTACCTTTCCTCTGACTGTGTGGTGACTGTCCCAGGCACTCGGTCTGTGTTCAGTCATGTTAAAGTGATTGTAAAGAATTTCCTTTTCTGGGTTCCCCTGCTGGTGTTCTTCTCTTCCTTCTCTTCCTCCTCTTCTGTGTCTGCATAGAAAGCAAGCGCTTTCTATGGGAGCAGATGTGTGGGTTCTCTACCAAGTCAGGCTGTGTGCATCCAAAGACACACAGCACTGCTTTGCCCCTGCTCTCTGCTCACAGGATTTGATTTGACAGCGGGATCCATTGGCTCATTCTGCTATCTCAGTAAAGCCAGGGAGAGTGGAGAGAGGAGGGAGCCGCTGCAGATGGGCACAGAGTATTTAAAAGGGCAATACAGCTATTGGGACACACTTTTTTTTTTTTTTTTTTTTAACCATCATACAGGGAATGCATGAAGGTAAAAATGTCACGGCTTTGGAACCACTTTAAACAGAGTGCAGAGGTGACATTGGGGCTCCTTCAAAAGAACCTGTCATGCTTTGTGTGCTTTTAGTAAACTGCATTTTTTATACGGGTAACTTTTCTTCCTCAGAACTTCGACCCTGGTCAGGACACTTACCAGTACCCACCAAAGGATGGGAGTTCTGAACGAGTTGATGTGAGTCCCACCAGCCAGCGCCTGCAGCTTTTGGAGCCTTTTGACAAGTGGAATGGAAAGGACTTAGAAAATATGCAGATCCTCATAAAGGTGAAAAAAAAACTAGTTGTGTTGTCCTGGTTTTTTTTTTTTTTTCCTGTTTCTCATCAAATGTGTATGAAGTTGATTTTTAAAGCAAAAGTTCACCTTTTAGGAACATGTTACACCTGCTTTTAGGGTGGAACCTATTCCTAATCCTGCAGCCGCCCCGTGCTGCCCCCTCTCCCTATAACAGAAGTACGGGTAGGCGTTCCCCATACTAGCTGTCACTTTTCAAAAACGGGGCTCTGCCCACACGGTCACGTTGTTCATTCACAGTCCTCTGTGAATTAATGGACTACAAGTCCTAACCGCCTTAGTGACAGTCAACTTGTAGTCCTCAGTGAATTACCATGGTGGTAGTTCACTGATTCTTCTTGTCACAAATATTGGCTTTCTCGTATGGGATTGTAAGGGACCGCCTGGCGGTACCACTAGCACTCCACTGATCGGTCGTTCCCAGCGTACGGAGTCTAAGCCCCCAGAGTACTTGTTCACCAGAGCCCCTGATGGTGGGGATGGACTTGGAGTACCCCGGGACCAGGTCGTGACTACTGGGGACACCCGTCAGTGGTAGGGGTATTCGCCAGGGGCTCCCACGGGAGAGAGCCAGGTATGAGGAGGTCTGGAGACCCCGTTGAGAGGGATGGATGGATGGATGGCTGAGCAAGTGCAAGGTCAGACAAGCCGGGTCGGTAACTATGGGGACGGTGCGGTACAGAGCAGCGGGCAAAGAATAGTCGGGTCACGCCAGGTCAGCAACAGCAGGTCAGATCCAATAGGGGGCATTCAGGAGAGAGGTCAGGCAAGCAAGGGTCAAGAACAGGAGAAAGCAGCAAAGTCAGGGCACAATCCGGGTCAGTAACTTATAAAATAAACTTATATATAAAATCTATATATAAAATCGAGCGCAGTGTATAGGTGTAAGTACGGTAGCTGCTTGCACAAAAAGGCACCTCGGGAACCTCCAAAGTAATTGATAAAGAATGAGAGTGCAGCGCCAACCCAAATAGCGATTAAACATATGATAGACCACATATGATAGTGGATCAGTAAAATGTCAGTGTAAGTTCATCAGATGTGCTGAAAATGCATACAGTCTCCAATATGTAAAGAACCAAAAGTAGTGACTTTCAGAAATGATAATAGCCAAATAATGCACTAACCAGATAGCGCATATTAAAGCGCATGGAGCATTTAAGACCTGCCCCTGGTGCTCAGCCACTGTATCACTGGAGCCAGGAGATGTCATCTATAGGGTGACCACTAGATGTCATCTATCCGGATGGAAGCTGAGTCCAGCCACTGTATTAGAGGATCAGGCGGATGTCATCTATAGGGCGACCACTAGATGTCATCCGTTCCAGGAGGAGCTGTGTCAGGGATCCAGGGATGTCACTTGCAGATGTGTCCTTTGCTCAGCACAGCCCCAGGACCTTCAGAATTACAGGCTCCCCAGAAATAGAGCCCGTGGAAAAAGGCCTCAAATAGTGTGATATCGTTTATTAAAGTAGGTAAATAATCAGAAAAGAACTTACTAACAACGGTTCAGCTGCTCATAAACGGCCAGACCAGAGGTACATGTACACAGGATATAAATAGCTTGGCACTTCCCTAACGCGTATCGTGTGAGTACACATCATCAGAGGGACTGTGCCAGTGGTAAAAGGAGTTTTTTATACATTAAAAAGCGCCAAAATACACCGCAATGCGGCGGCGCCGTTATTGCCGGTTTCGCGCATGCGCAGTAGCGGTCGCGCATGCGCACTAGCGTTCGCGGCGGCCATTTTTAAGAAGCCAAAACACATTATGGACATACAAGTGTTGGCTCAGCAGTAATCTTAGTGGGAACAAGATACTGCATTCCTAAATCAACACGGGGCAAGTGGATTAGCTGAAATTACACATGGAACATACTTAATGCCCCATTGTAACAAGAACAGCGTGGTGAAACAATATTAAAAAATATATTAAACTAGAAAATACTAAGGTGCATCGACTTTTTACAGCGATTATAGCACTCCAATAGGAATGTACAGATAAAGGCAAAATACATCAAATGCGTCAAACATATAAATTAAAACCACTCTGGTTAAAAAGTAATATCATTAAAAATATTAAATTTTAAAACCAATGTACTAAGATTAAGTAACTTACTTTAACAGGTTCACAGGATACAAAGAGACCAGAAGGCACTGAATGACAGCTCAGGGCCGTTTAAATATCCCGCCCTGTGCTGTCATTGGTGCCAGGCGCGTGCCCGCGGTCTCTACTGCGCATGCGCGAACTTGGTTGCCGTGGTCGGCCAGGTCCCGGCGCCCGCGTCCCTGCACAGGGCGGTGCACTGCGCCTGCGCCGAGCCCAGCGGCGCGGCGATCCCCGACAGGGATGTAAGGGCAAGCTGATACAATGACCGGTCTGCAGGGAACCCGCATGACATCAGCAATCTGCTGATCACTGGTGCAATGCTTTAGAAGCTCCTAACACAAAAAAATATTAAATGCACATTTTTTTTTTTTTTTCCGATTTTAAGAAAATAAAAAAAATTTGCATTTTATTTTTTTGTGGAAAGGTGAACTCCTTCAACTGCAAATGACCCTCTGCCTTAGACCTGTCTTTATGCTCTCAACTTTTTTCTGCCCAGTTACAGGGACACTCAGGAAAACAGGAAGGGGGTATAGTTGGTTTAAACATTTAGTCACTAAATTCTCATATCTTTTAACCAGTTTGTGTTTTTCTTTAGTAATGGGAAAAAAAAAAAAAAAAAGTATTGAATTTTTCAGAAAACAAGGAAATAATGTTGACTACTATAGTTCAAAAACAGATCCGTTTATAGCAAATGAGCAAGGCTTCATGTTAAAACATGGAAAGGGTATGTAAGCACAAGGTTAGTGGGGATAGTTTATAAAACTATAATACATTTTATATAAATCTCTATCTGGATATAGATACAGCAGGTAACAAGTATTGATCACACCACCATTTTTCTAGGTAAATAGATTTCTAAAGGTGGTATTGACATGATATTTTCACCACATGTCAGTAACAACTCATGCAATCCATACATACAAAGAAACCAAGTTCAAAAATTAAGATGTGTAATAAAATGGAATGACACAAGGAAAAAGTATTGAACACGCTAACTGAAATTTATTTAATATTTCATACAAAATCCTTTGGTAACGACAGCTTCAAGACACCCTCCTGTAAGGAGAAACTAATCTCATGCTTTGCTCATGTATGATTTTGGCCTATTCTTCCACACAGTCTTCAAATCTTGAAGGTTCCGTGTGCTTATTATGTGAACTCTGATCTTTAGTTCTTTCCATAGATTTTCTATTGGATTCAAGTTTAGGTGATTGGCTGGGCCATTCTAGCTTTATTTTCTTTCTTTTAAACCAATTGAGAGTTTCCTTGGCTTTGTGTTTGGGATCATTGTCTTGCTGAAATGTCCACCCTCGTTTCATCTTCATCGTCCTGGTAGATGGCAGCAAATTTTTATCGAATGTTTTGGTAAATTTTTTTCCCTTCATCTTTCTTTCAATTATCTGACGTTTGCCAGTACCATATGCTGAAAAACAGCCTCACGCCATGATGTTCCCACCTCCAAACTTCACTGTTGGTATGGTGTGTTTTGGGGTGATGTGCAGTGCCATTTGACCTCCAAACATGGTGTGTATTGTGGCATTCAAAGAGTTCAATTTTGGTCTCCTGACCAGTCTATATACTCCCAGTATTTAACAGGTTTGTCTAAATGTTGGGCTGCAAACTTTAATCTAGCTTCAACATACTTTTTCTTCAGCAATGGAGTCTTGCATGGTGAGCGTGCATACAGGCCATGGCGGTTGAGTGCATTACTTTTTTTTTCTTTGAAACACTTATACCTGCTAATTCCAGGTCTTTCTGAAGCTCTCCACAAGTGGTCCTTGGCCCTTGGACGGCTCTTCTGTTAATTCTTTTCACTCCTCTGTCAGAAATCTTGCGAGGAGAACCTGGTCGTGGCGGGTTTATGGTGAAATGATGTTCTATCCATTTCTGGATTATGGCCCAAACAGTACTTACTGGAACATTTAGAAGTTTAGAAATCCTTCTGTAACCAATGCCATCAGTGTGTTTTGCGACAATAAGGTTGCGAAGGTCTTGAGAGAACTCTGTGCGGTTACCCATCATGAGATGTTTGTGACACCTTCGTAAATGAGACACCTTTTTTTTTTTTTTTTTATAAGCCATCAGTTCAGACTGAACTAGTTGATATTAATTTGCACTGCCAAGGGGCAGGATTGCTTTCTAATTACTGATAAATTTCAGCCTGTCTCTTGGCTTTCCATGCATTTTTTGAACCTCCCTTTTCTTCATGTGTTCAAATCCTTTTTTTTTTTTTTTTTTCCCCCCCCCCCCCCGTGTCATTCCATTTTATTACACATAACTTCATTCTGGATCTTTGTTTTCTTTGTTTGGATTGCATGGATTGTTACATATGAAAATTTTCATGTCAATAGCACGTTTAGAAATATATTTACCTAGAAAAATGGTGACATGTTCAATGCTTATTTTACCAGCTGTATATGGATATAGTGGCAGAAGATAGGTGAGCCCATGAGGAGTCTTCCATCTGTCAGTCAAGCTATGACCATCTCTAAGACTGAGCAAGGGATTTGGAAGATATTTAACAAGCAATGTCAATTGATCAAAATAATGTGAGCAACAGAAAGGGGGGTGAAAAAAAGGGGAGATGATGAAAAAAAACTATCAAACAATTTGCCTCTGCCAAGGAACCACACTGGATATACCTCTCCCTCTTTATCATTTTGTTTTAATGTCATAATTCATTTTCTATCTTTTTTTTTTTTTTTTTTTTTTTCTACAGCTTTTGTTAAATACCTATCGTCATTCTGGCATTTTGCAACATGCACATGCAGTGAAGACTAGACGTTGCTGTGGCAATGCTCATTGCAAAGGCATATTTTGCCATTTGGGAAGCCTGTCTTGAGCAATGATTGTAGCAGTCACTGCAGTGCATGTATATAGTAAGTAAGCTAGAAGAGATCTGCTGTCATGAGATGCAAAAAAGTTGGAAATGCTATTTTCTAAAAGGGAAAAACACAACTTTGACACACGTTGGTTTAGCAAACTGTCATCCAGGTAGAGTTAATATCCAGTTTGTGTGGGTAGCAATTTACACATGCTGGGTTCTTTATGAAAAGCTTCAACAGATAAGTAAAAGTATAGTTAAAAGCTTTTGTTGGATAAACTTCTATGGATCACAGGAGTGCAGTTTGTTCTGCACTCCTGTGACCTGTTCTTAAGGGTCAGGTTTTTTTCAGGCTTCTGATCAGGATGCACCCAGAAGCCTGGAATGGCAGCACACTCAGCCTCTCAGCTGCGCTCCTGGCAGACTTAGCCAGCCACTCCCTCCCCTCCCCAGCTCTGCTCTCCAGTGAGCTCTAGGGGGGCAGAACAGATTGCTGGTGACTGACAATCACATGACTGATTCTGTTGTATATTTATTTATTTTTTATAGGTGAAGGGCAAGTGCACAACAGATCATATTTCAGCTGCTGGGCCATGGCTGAAATTTAGGGGTCACCTGGACAACATTTCGAACAACCTGCTGATTGGTGCTATCAACATTGAAAACAACAAGGCAAACTGTGTAAAGAATTGTGCTACCCAAGAGTATGGACCTATCCCTGACACTGCTCGTTATTATAAGGTAACATTCTTTGTGCCTAGTTAGTGTTTATGCATTTTTGGAATACTGTGGGCATAAGCAGAATATTATGACCAGGAAAACTGCAAAGCTGAAGGTTGTCGGGTTTTGTTTTTTTTTTTTTTTTTTTTTTTTTTCCATGATCAATCCTACATAAAGAACTAGAAATGTCCTGTATTATAGTAGGGCAGTGTCACAGGAACACGTTGGTACTCTGTTTCCGTGTGTTAGCTGTTGCGTTTTGTAAAAGATGCTGCAGTATTACTACTGTGCCTTGTCATTTTTGAGATGTGTTGACAAATCTACACCATATAGAACACAGCCATTTCAATGTATGTGGCTTTCTTTCAGGAAATTCCACTTAATCCAATATCAATTTGTTAAAAGAAAATTTGATTTCTGAAGTACTTTTAAGCGACAGTCGCAGAGAAGACTGTTCGCAATATTGAACATACCAACATGATTTACCAGTGTATGGCCAGCTTTAGAATGTTAGATTTTTGCTGTGGGTGGCTTTTGGAGATATCATGCATCTTGTCCCAGTGAGCACTAAGATGATAGAGGTCATCAAAAACCGCAGTCAAACCTCTGTTATGTTTCTGTCATTGGAGTTTAATCTGTTAAAGTGAGGAAGGCACACAATTTTTGATCCTGTATGTCCCTGTTAATCTCGAACATATATTGTCTGAATTTCTTAACCTCTTTTATGATACTTGGAGCGTGGACGATGAACATAAAAATAATTACATGTTGTATACGTTTCCATATGTAAACCTTGTTTTACTGTATTTTTCACTCCATAAGACGCACCTAGATTTTAGAGGAGGAAAACCAGAAAAAAATATTCTGGACCAATGGACTGCGGACACAGTACAGGGGATGACCAGAGACTGTGGAACTTTGGGGAGCGGGTACCTGAACTTTGACAGATACCCGCTCCCACTTCCCGAAGTTGTCCTTCCCCCTTCATCCTAGTAATCTTCTGGGACACATGACAGTTTTTTCAGACTACGGGGCCATTCACAAAGCGCAGCGCTTCTCACGCATGCGCAGTGGGCACCCGGCTGTGAAGCCACAAGCTGTCACATCCGGGTTACCGTGCTGGCGCCGGGGAGAGAAGACTGAACACCGTTGGACTGAGGAACGGGTAGGACCGCTGGAGGTTTGCAGAGAAGAGCCGAGCGGCTGGCCTGGTATTCTAACATGGGGGGAAATAGTGGGCTGGCCACTCCATATTCACTCCATAAGACGCACAGGCCTTAGTGTGTGTCTTTTATGGAGCGAAAAATACGGTAATTAATTTGTAAATGGAACCCACACATCTCACTACATGATTAAAAATTGCACAAAAACAATAAAAATGTTAAAGGTTCTGAGCATTACAAACTTTTGAAAACAAATGTTAGTTTTACCATGACATCTGTAGCCGCTGTATTGATGAGAGAATTTGTACCATATACACTTGAAGAAAATTGTAATCTTATCTAAAAGTTTGGTCATGGGTAACAATATTCCTGCATAATTAAAAATTAACTAGATAAAAACAATATAAAACTATGCTACCATTTTGAAGAATTTAGTGGACTTAAATTTTGTATTTTTACTTGTATAAGGAGCGTTTTGTGTGAGATTTTTACATACAGTATATGTTTGGGTGCAGAATAGCTTGTCAGCTGATGTGTACTCTAGTGCTCCAAAGGATGACTCACTCTGGTTTCTTCTCTCCATTTATTGTAGGCAAATGGAATAAAATGGGTGGTAGTTGGAGATGAGAACTATGGAGAGGGCTCTAGCAGAGAGCATGCTGCCCTTGAACCACGACACTTAGGTGGCAGAGCCATCATTACAAAGAGCTTTGCAAGAATTCATGGTGAGTTTTTAGCTTGAATTTATCCCTGGTTCTAGGAAGTTGTCAAAATATCTCAATGGGATTATAGTGGAAAAGAACAAATGTAAAATTTTTTTTTTTTTGTTTTCTACACTTTGCTTGTGGTACATACCTTGCTAGTTCAGGCCCTGCCTCAACCTGTTGTCCATACTTTGGGTCTTAACTCGGGTTCTGACACCAGAATTACCATACTATGCTCTTGTGACATTTTCATTGTGAGATACTTGGATGCCCTCCTGTTGAACAAACAGTCAGCACAGGCTGTGTTGAATAACGTGGCTTTGACTCTCCAAATGCATCCTGAATCTTCAGAAATCAACAAACAAACTTTTTTTTTTTTTTTTCTTTTTAAGTTCTGACTATAGATCCTGTGGGAGATGGTCTGGCCTAACTAATTTCAGATTTGAGCTCTCCAGTCTGGGAGTCGTCTGACCCTCTGCTTTGAATTAGTCTTGAACCTGGTGGAAATCCACCTTTTTAGTCTAGGTTCACACTTAATGTTAAATGGACTGTAGTGCATTTCTGCAAAATGGAAAACACTTATTTCCTATGGGACACATTCACATATCCACGTTTTCAACCAGTGCGTTTTTTTGGAAAGGGTCGGACTTTTTTAAATGCAAAAAAAGTTGCATTTTTTGGTTCTATGGACTTCAGTGGAGACGCTGCAGAAAAGAATGTAGTGCGTTTTTAATACATTTTGCATTCTTAATCTGCCTAGCAAAAGGGGAAAAAAAGTATCACTCGTGCAAAAACTCACTGCAGAAAGCACGGCAGAAACTGATCAAACGCAAACTGCATAGGTGTGAACCTAGCCTTAGGCAAGATTTCGAATTACTTTTTATTTTTGGTCGAATTCCACAACCAAATGTTGTATAGGTTGGGAGTGAGACAATTTTCATTGGAGTACCTGGATGGGTTTGACACTGGCGCTGAGGACCAGGTTATTTGGCCTGGTGGTTCAGAAATCCTAGTTCTGGTATTAGAAATCCTTCCCATTTTCTGGAGGAGTCTCAGGACTGGTTGCCAACCTGATGGGCTGGGGAGGAGTCCCGAGCATGTTTTTGTTGCAGTCCTAATATTTTTTTTTTTTTTTTGTCTTGAAGTATCCCATCTCTCAAACATTCTTGAACTCTGGTGCAATTTGGCTGTCTCTGCAGCACTGGACTGTCCCACTGGAAGGTCAGGTCATGTAATAGAGATTCAATCAGATGCCATGGCAGTGACGTACACCAACCTTCACGGAAGTACCAGAAGCACCGCTACAGTAGTTTGGATGCTGTAGAACTAGGCAGAACGTGGTTTCCTCTACTTCAACGGTGCATGTCCTAGGCATGGGTAATTGGCAATTAGACTTCTCAGTCGACAGCACCTAGAACTGGGGAAGTAGTTTCTTTACCCAGAGGTGTTCAGGGCATGTCGCAGATAGAGAATGCTGGATGTGGTCCCCAGGCCTCTAGGTGTGATTACAAGTTTGTAGTTTTGACTCCAGGCAAAATCCTGGACCCTTAGTAGGCTCAGCGCCATGCAAAGGCAAGACAGGGATTCCCTATATATTGACACTGATTGCTGGATTTTAATCACAATCTGCAGTGCATAGCACACTGTTTTTTTTGTGTTTCTTTTTACAAATGAACAAAGTACAAACAAAGGTAATTGGGGTATTCAATGATGGGTATAAAATGCAGGCTATAGACAAATATCCTATTGCTTAGTCAAGAAAAGCAACAAAATTCGAATGAAGTCCCATCATTGTTACAATACAACAAAAATTTTCTTAACTGGTAAAGATGGCAAAGATAGCATATAGCACAAAATTAAGTAGAAAAATGTTTCTCACTTCTATCCCTTCCCTTCTCATAAGGCGCCCCCTAAGGGGTGATGGTTAAATAAGCTACAGGGGGTCCAAGTAGACCAACTTTTATCAAATTTACGGGGACAACCTCTAGCAATATAAGCCAATTTGTGCTGTAGCAAGGATTCATTAACCAATATAAACCCCCCCCCCCCCCCCCCCCCCCCCCCCCCCAAGTGGCCAAGTAATCCTTTTAGGATTACATATATTAGGCAAAGCTAATTTGCCCCCCATAAATTTTAGTGATAGGAGACCAGAAGGATGCAGCCTCAGGAGAGGCCCATACAATATGAGAAATTCCCATCAGCAGAGAACCTATGACACTGAGCAGGTGTCAGCCTCCCCATAGTATATAACCGTAGTGGAGTGTAATAAATCCAATGAAAGAATTTCAACTGACCTTATCCCATGCAGCAATAACACTGGCTACTTGGGACCCCACCACCTCTGGGCCATGAGTCATCCTGTAGTGTTGGGAGATCAGATTGCTACTGCTCTTCAAGTTTGTCTATCTTGGGAGTTTGGAGGGGTAACGGTAGCTGATATGTAGATACCAGCTTAGAGTGTTCTTTCACCAACAAAGCAGCCTCTAGTACGGACATTTGCAGAGCCACCTCCCGGAGGCCAAATTGGGCCGCAACTGCGTGACTGAGTTGAAGTTAGAAATAAAAATAGGTAGCGACCAAGATGCTGCTACTCTTCTGGAGGTTGCATTAATGGGCTCGTACAAGGGGCTACAAAATTTTGCTTTTCAGAGGTTCCCATGTTTCTGCCCCTATTACAGGCTCCATGGACGTCACCTTGGGAGTGTGGGATAAGGTTAATCATCTTCTTCAACCATATGGGACTGTATACTCCCCTGCCTCCCCGCTATGATTTAATCCCCGTCTGACGCATTTTAACACTATTCCTGATCCTGCAGTTTGGGCTACTAAGGGGATTAGGCAGTTGAGGGATATACTGAAGAATGATAAACTTCTTTCCTTTGACAAACTTAAACTCAGGTTTCACCTTTCCAACTGGAATTTTTTTTAGATATCTTCAACTCCATCATGCTTTCGTAGCGCAGTTTGGGGGTAAGACTCTCTAGTTGCCAGGTCCTCAGAGCTGGAGCAGTTGCTTGGCTCTGATACTCTTAAGAAAACCTTCAGTGGTATATAAAGAGCTTTTTGTTACCAGACCTGTCTTTAGAGAAATGTCGGGCGCAATGGATCGCTGTGGTCCCAGATTTACAGGGAGATGACTGGGATGACATGTGGGACTGTCCCTTCCACAACTTGGTGTGGGCCAGGGATAGACTCATCCAATATAAACTGGTCCATAGGATATACTACACGCCTGCTAGGCTGGCACGTATATATGCCTCCGCTTCGGCGGATTGCTGGCGTTGTACGTCTTTCTCAGCGGACTTTGATCATATTTTTTTGGTCCAGTCCAAAGATTCAAGATTTTTGGAGTGGGGTGGCTCGGTCTCTGGTTGACAACATTGCAATTTCCGCAGACTAGATCTATGTGCCTTCTTGAATTGGTGGAGGAGTTGGTGCCTAGGTGCTCACAGTGAACACTCCTCTGTGACTACTATGTTGGTTCTTGGTATCTGCGTGAAATTAGCTCAGATACATTGTTTATAGTCACCTTGCATGTGGTTCTCCGGGTATGTTCGATGTGAAAATAATATTTTGTATGGTTGAGGCACCTGCACTGCATGTTTAACTGAAGGCATTGCACTATTGTAAGGAAGGGGGGTGGGGGGTGGGATTTTTGTAATTTTGTTTTGATGGCTGTGCCAGTTTGTTAAAATAAAATTAATAAAAAAATGGATAGCGGGTATAGTAATCACTTCCCGTCCGCCCTATAGCAGATATACTGCTACAGGGTGGCACGGGTGCGCAAAATTGTGTTTATCCATTTCCGGGTAGGGGGTGCACGGCGCTCCCTACCCGTGCCGCCATTTGTAGCCGCGGCTGTCAATCACTGGGTCCCGGCCAGTGATTGCCGTGCATCTCCGACGGGGGGGGTGGGGGGGGGGGGGGGGGGGGGGGAGACTGTTGGTAAACAACAGTTCTCCTCCCTGTCATCTTGTGTACACTGCTTTGTATGGCTGTGCACAGTACAGCCATGCCAAGCAGTGAAGCACTAACACACAGCCCCTAGTAAAACTGCACACAGTTAACCCTTTGATCGCCCCACATGTTAACCCCTTTCTGCCCAGTGCCTTTAGTACAATGTCAGTGCGTTTTTATTGGCACTGATCCACTGTATTGGTGTCACTGGGGATGTTGGTGACAGTTCCCCCCAGTGTCAGAATGCCTGCCGCAGTCCCGCTATAAGTCGCTGAGATATATATATATATCTATATCGCCATTTGTAAACGCTATAACTTTTGCGTAAACCAATTAATTTTTGCACATAGCAGAATACATTTAGGCCTAAATTATGTTTTGTATTTTTTATAGTGCAAAATGTAAAAACCGAACATGTGATCAAACACCACCGAAAGAAAGCTCATTTCGTGGGGGGACATAAATTTAATTTGGGCGCACCGTTGCATAACTGCTTAATTGTCAGTTAAACTAACGCAGTGCTGTAATGCAAAAAATGGCCTGGTCAGGAAGGGGGGTAAATTCTCAGGAGGGTCAGTGGTTATCTTGGAATAAAGTTTAGGACACCGCTTCCTTCCCTCTGTGCCTTGATCAGGGTTGTGTTTGTGTTTCTTTTTTTTTTTTTTTTTTAGCACTCAAAAAAAATTGAGTCTCTCAAAGTGGGCTAGGTTGAATAGGTGCTCTTTGAAGGCAGTTTACTTTGCCAGTCCATCTGTAGGTAGCCTGCATAAAACCCATGGTCTAGGAGCAAGTCTTTACTGTACGGAATGTCAAAATACTAATAAAGATGTGAATTTATGACCAATTCCTCAATCTGAAGAAGTATTCCTAAGCAGTACATGGTTCCTTAAAGTGGAACTGCTCACTGGCACTAATGATTTGTCATCCTAAAATCTTCATAATTATGGAAAAAAAAAAGTTTCGCTACGCTGTCTGTGCTATCTATTTGCCTCTTTATGTTGAGGCTGGTGCAGACATCTGCTTTACCAATTAGAGAGGTTTAATGTCACTTTAGTTTGGGCCAAGATGATTGGCTTTCTGTTTAACAGCCACTGCATGTGCTGTAATGAACTGTAGTAGAATTAGCTAAAAGTGGTGCTGCTTTTCAGAAGCCGTACAGGTGACTTCCTGACTGCTTCTGGAGTTGGACTGAGTGCTTTTCTGCCATTCAGGAAAGCCTTGTTTTTTTTCAACAAATACAAGGCTTTCTCTGATTGGCCGATGTGACATGCCTCACAACTATTTTCATTTAACAGTCCAACCTTCTGGCTTTAAGAAAACACGTAAAAAAAAATAAAACTGTAGTCCGTTGTAACTGTTTTTTTTTGTAGATCAAGAAGAGGGAAAAAATATGGAATCGCTCGATTCTGAGGAAAATATTATGGAATCACCATGTACTTTGTGGTTCTAAAACTAACATCTGCATCAGATTAAATCTGCTAATTAGTCTGCAGTTGAGTGCTTGCACACCTTGAACTGTTGCACCAAGCTGATTGACATGAATCATGGCTCCGACATGAGAGATGTCTGTTGAAAAAAAAAAAAAGGAGAGAATTATAAAACTTCTTCAAGAAGGTAAATCATCACAGAATATTGCAAAAGATCTTGGTCCAGATTTTAGACCCAAATCAAATGGGAAGGTGTAAAAGGGAAGAGTATTGGTGACCAAGGAAGACACCAAAGCATCAAGATAGGAAACTTAAAGCAATATGCTTTGAAAACAGGAAATGCACAACAAACCAAATGAGGAACTAATGGGCAGAAACTGGAAATGACAGTCGTTAAAGCTTCCATAAATGCACAAGTTTATATTGCGATTTTGGACATTTTTTTTTTTTCTTCCATCAATTGAAAGGATGTTTGGTATCCATCAATTGAAAGGATGATAATGCATCTTGCCATAGGGCAAAAGCCGTGAAAACTTTCCCTTTTTAAAAGACCTATAATGTCAATGGTATGGATTGCAAATAGTCTGGACCGCAATCCATTTGAAAGTCTATGGTGGAAATTAAAATGGTCTGACAAAGCTCCAACCTCCAAAGCTGATCTGGCAACTGCAGTAAGAGAAAATTGGAGCCGGACTGATGAAGAATACGGTTTGTCAGCAGTTAAATTCAAGCTGTTATAAAAGACAGAGGTGGTGCAACAAACTACTAGTGGTGTTCTGTAGTTGTTTGTATATCTTCCCTTTTTATTTATTTATTTTCTCTCCGTGATTCCATAATATTTTCCTGAACTGAGTGATTCCATATTTTTTTTCCCCTCTGTAGTCAGCAACTGTTTTTTGCAGATCAAGCTGTTGTTTTTTTTTTTGTTTTTGTTTTTTTCCTTTAAGTGTTTCGTAAAGCTAGAAGGTTGGGATGTTAAATGAAAATAGTTTTGAGGCATGTCTGTGATTGTTTGTTTTTGCTTTCTACACAATTAAACAATTGAACATTTTCCAAGAGTGGCGATTCCATACTTTTTTTGCCAGGGGTTGTATTACAGATAAAGCTACAATTTGTATTTTTATTTTTTTCCTCTAGAAACGAACCTAAAGAAACAAGGGCTTCTGCCTCTCACCTTTTCTGACCCAGCAGACTATGAGAGGATTCACCCTGAGGACAAGATTACACTTGCTGGTTTAAAGGACCTGGCACCAGGAAAGGTAATCTTCAAAAAGCTTTGTCTTCATCACCTTTATGACTGCATCAGTACTTAATGATACATTGTTTAATTTGACAATCTTAATGAAAATCTTGGATCGCTTCATTATCCATCCTCCTTCAGATACAGTTATGTCACATTATGTGGAAGAGAGCACAACAGACATTTTTGCAAAGTAATTGATCTAGTACATTTTTCAGTTCTTGTAGAGTTAATTTCTAATATATTTAAGGGTTAACAAAGCAATGAATTGGAACAAATTGCATGACTCCCAGTAATCGACATTGCTATGAAAGTTAGTAACCTAATCCTAGTCTAATTCAAGGGGGAAAAAAATACAAGACTTTGGTAAAAGGATTCTTTATGAAGTCCACATGCCTCTAAAGCTACCAATAGACGGATTGAAATTCAAGTGGTTGAGAAGAAATCTGCCAAATTTCAATCCATCTTTGGGCAGGCTGGTTCTGCAGAATTTCAATCCATCTTTGGGCAGGCTGGTTCTGCAGAATTTGAACAAAAAAACCTGACAGGGTGATTGTACTGAAGTCCTTCAATAGCTCAATCACTGCACACGGGTATAGCTGGCAGCAGTGGTCATTGTATTCTGAGGGCTGGGAAACCTCCCGTTGCACTGTTCAACAAATTTTTTATTTTTTGCCAGTTTTGGAAACAAAAGGATCCATTTCTTAATGAATTTCACATTCTGAGTTCAAATAGAACAATGAAATTTGTCAATTGGCTCTAGTTTTTCTGTAAACGGAAAGTTTTCTACTATAGGCGTAATGACAACATAATGCACAATAATTATATAGATGTCTTTCCACAAATATAAAGCAAGTGATATTGACTACATAACAAAGCCTAAATGGCATAATATATTGCATAGGATTACCAAGAAAAATTATAGCCATAAGCTAAGTTGAATCATTTTAATACTTGGGATTCTCACTAGTTTTGTCTTCAGTTTGTGTCGGTTTTGCTTCTCTTGGCTTTTCTCTTGTATTCGAGGAAAGGGCTATCTCTTACAACTGCACGTGACTACACGCTTCAGGTTCTTCCTCACTTGACTCAACCACGAAGGATTCTGGTGCTTTAGGAATTGGTAGCCCCTCTCCATGAGGAACTGGACGTATTGCCGATGGAATATTTGGATAGTGCACAGATAACTTTTTCTTCTTATTTAGCCCTTTTACAATTGGAGGCACCATACAAAAGTAACAATTACTAACATGATCTGTTGGCTCTCTCCAAATCATTGGCACAGCGAAAGGCATAGATGCCTTTTTTCCATTCAACCATTGCTCCAGTGCCGTCCCACAAGAATTGCAGCATATATGTGGTGCCCAGCTCCTGTCCTGGTCTCCTATCTTGCAGCCAAAATACAAGTTGTAGGCTTTCTTAATCATTCCTGTTATCCTCCTTTTTTGTGAGATAAAAGTTATTTCACCGCAGATATAGCAGAAATTATCTGCTTTATTCACACAAGTTCGAAGCATTACTGAGTAGCCTATATAAGCATAAAACGAAATGTAAAGACGCTGTCGAACTACAATCAGCTACAGATACTGCAGCTTTTATGCAGTGAAGTGATGCAATTAAAGGCTAATATTGCATCATCTCAGTATACATGCAATTTTCTATTGGTCACCAGTATCAATTGCGCAATATGCAGCTGAAGTTGCATCATAATTTTGAATGGCTTACGTCATTAGATGGGTGAATATATCATGGAAACTAGAGCCAATCAACATTTTTTTAGGGTAATTTTCGTTTTCAGCACCCCAAAATTATGTAAGATTAGCTAATTTTATGCCCAAAACTTTTTACCTGTTGAACAGTGTTGTCAGAATAAAATAGCATAACGGGAGAGATTCCCCCATCAACAGGCAAATCTTACATCAGAAATTCTTTCCTTCAACCAGTGATTGAAGGAAAGGAAATTGCATGAACTCTGACTAACAATCAACCACATGAGCAAGAATGGTGGGGGGTGGTAGAAGTCTGGAGCACGCCCTCTTTAAAATGGAGATGTGATCTCCCAGACAAATAGTAAGGGTTAATACACCAACATGGGCACAGCAGTAGGACTGGTAGAGCATTTTAATACTCATTTCATCCAAAACAAAGTTGCCTTTTTACTTTCTCTTTTAAGGTCTAGTTCATGTAGGTCTCGTCTTGAACATTACTCTAGACATCATACGTAGCGCATTTAACAGCCGTTTTCTTGCAGCATTCAAAGCAGACCTAATCTTTAGACCGGAAATGCAGAAGAAATGGCTATCACTAAATGGGGATTCATGGGGATGCAGACTGCCATATAAAAACCTGACCGGTTCAATCCTTGCCCAGTACATACAAAAGTAGAAGCTGCCATGTAGACCTATGGTAGAATTCCATGCAGATCTACAAGCCTACTGCCTATGTTTTTAAGAGGTTTACAGGATTTTTTTGGTACAGTTGATATAGGAATATAGGACTACTATATATATATATATATATATATATATATATATATATATATATATATATATATTCCCCTAGTAAATTTCATCCTGTACAGGGAGTACCTTGGAAATCTATAGAAACACTTGTCTGTTTTATCACTAGCATTCTGGTTCCAGTCCTTATTTTGCCAATAATAATTTTTGCTTTTTTTTTTTTTTTTTTTTTTTTTGTCCCTCCCTTCCACAGCCTCTCAAATGCGTTATCACCCATCAGAATGGTAGCCAAGAGACAATCTCCTTAAATCACACCTTCAATGAAACACAGATTGAGTGGTTCCAGGCTGGCAGTGCTCTCAACCGCATGAAGGAGCTTCAGAAATAAGAATTCAGACTTTTTTTGACATTTTACATAGACTGTCATTCCCAGAATGATTAACCATTCTGATGTATTAATTGCATACAACTGCTGCACTTAAAACAATGTCCACAATAATTTTTACTAAATGAATTATCTGTCAGTCATTTTATTTCTTTTAGGAATAATCCATCATTATGCCGTAAGTCACGCTTCCATCTTGTCAGGTTTATTTCATATATTTATTGCCAGTTTCCTGTCGGACTGATCTTGCTACTGTGATACTCTCCAGTCTGAAATGGTTACAAAGCACCATGCTGCTTTATTAAATAAATGTATTTTATCTGACAACAGTCTTGTCAAAATTAAACTTCTGTGATTTAGGTGTATTGTGTTTTGGTTAGTGGTTCATTCAAGCAGGTCACATCCTGGAATTTAAAAGCCTTAGCACAATAGATTGCTTTTATTCTTTGAGATTTAGGGTCTATGCACACCAATCGCTGCGTTACAACAGTGGGATCACTGCAGTGCAGATGCGCCACGTTTTTTTTTTTTTTTTTTTTTTTTTTAACATTTTATTAAAATGTGACATGACAGTTAAGTTGTATCGGCTGCCATGTGGTGTGAGCCAGTGGATTGCCTCACACCGCATGTGTTAGAGAAAAAGTACAGCATGCAGTACTTGGCATTAAGTGCCCTACACAACTGCAACACAATCGTGTGCGGCAATATGTTACATATGTCGCAAACTGTTTTCACCCATGTGCGTTTACATTTGCATATATGGGAGTTGGGGCCTCAATTTTATTTGGCGGGGGGATGTTATGTGCTTGGGCTTAACTTGTTCTTTGGTCCCCCCCCCCCCATCACATAGGAGGGTACAAAATCCCCTATATGATTATTTTTAGGTGACCGGTTCTCTTTAATGAAAAGTAATCGCTGCTCAAGGCTGGTCTCCACCTGTATCTCCTGCACTGCACACTAGCAGGTGCTGGCCCTGTTCTTAGCAGGCATCATATTGGAGAAGAAAAATCCGGTTGGCTGCACATCCGATAAAAATCACCTTTATTTGTACATATTCACTATTTTGAAAATGTCCAAATAATAAAAGTGCTTTTTATTGAATGTGCGGCTGACTGGATGTTTCTTCTTTACTGTGACAGGTTCTCTTTAAAAGATCCTGCATGTCTCCTACTGGACTCCACTGGATGTATTGCATTTCATACTGCAGTTATCGGGGGCTGTGGAAGCAATCATGTGGCAACGCAGCCACCCCGACTGCTTCCACCTAATGGGCAAGAGTCTGCCTGTCAGTTTTATACACAATCCCAGTGGCTGCAGCCACCAGATTGTGTATAAAAAAAACCCTGCTGTCAGGTCTGTACAACATACTGTTTTGGGTCACAGGAGTGCATTTGCGTGTGCTCTCGTGACTCAGAATCCGCTGTCAGAGATCCACTTCAGACTTTAAAGGGATCCTGACAATGTCTGGATCCACCCAGATGCCTGACTGGCAGCTGGCTCAGCCTCTTGGTGTGCTGCTGAGAGGCTGAACCAACTGTTCCTGTTTTTGTATTGTGATCAGGGGCAAATTCCCAGAACTGAGTGCACAGATGCAGCCGTTGGCTGAATGCACTGATCGCATGCTGGTTTTCTAGCAGGACAGTTTCCAAAAGAAGCCAGTCTAAATGACAAGCTTTTGTCAAAGATGGGTACATACCAGGCTGAATTTCAGTTTGTGTGTACCCAGCTTTAATGTTTTTTTTTTTTTTTTTTTTTCCACAAGAGAATACAAGCCCACAATCCGTAATCTCTAAGATAAGGCTGCACTATGTAATCGAATGCTACCACTGAATTGTTACCAGATGCCATGAAACTGGTTCACATTAAAGTGACATTAAACTCACTGTCACAATTTTCACTATTATTTCATGTTTTATATAGCACATTATACCTGGATTCTTGCCTCTTTAATGCCTTGAACACCATAGTAATGTGACTTTTGTTTCACTATCTTCACACCACACTTTACACAGGGAGTCATGATTTATATAGGATTTCTTTCTCTGGTTTACTGGTTTCATGTTTCGCACAGTTCTAACTTTGCAACCCCCCAGCTAATGTAAAATATCATGTGTGGAGGCTCAAACAGAGCAAAGTGAAGACCTTGAAAAGACATTGTGGAGCATGCACAGAGTGAGTGGCAACACAGCAACCACAGAACTGGTTGCTATTGCATTGACACTAAGAAGAGCAGACATCAGAAATGGTAAGCTTAAACAGATAAATCTGCTTTCTTAGCATACACTTCCTCCCTTCATGCTGCCAAACAAGCCTACTTTGTCACTCTTATTAACCTCCCTGGCGGTATGATTTCAGATTTTTGGTGCTGAACGGTGCCATTTTTTTGCATGGAAATGTTTTTTTTTTTTTTTTTTTTTTTTTTTTTTAATTGTAGGCCTGTAATTTTAGAAATAACTCCCTGAAATCTGTCCCAACAAGAGTCTAGCAAACATTCCGGATATGATAAAACTTGAAACACAAAATCATAAATTATAATTTAATAAATACTCATAAAAAATAATAATTTTAATTCAATCTAATCAAACCAAAAACACTGAAATTTGAAATATAGCGCCAAGTTCGCACATCACTGAGCAAAGTCGCAATATCGTTTTCAGTGTCTGACGAATTTCCCCCATGAATCATTATCACTCAATTCTGCAAGTAGTTCTGATTTACTATCGCTGTTCTCTAGCCGGTCTAAAACCAATTTTGACCTAAAGGGACGCTTTTTGGACGCCGTGGACTTTTCTAAGTTTCCAGGCAGAAAGAACAGTCAAAATGCAGGCAGGGCACAGGACAAAGCAGTAGGGACAAAATGTATGTGAAATGCTTTGATACAGGAATGTTTTGCTATGAAATAATAGCTTTAAAAAAAGTATTTTTTTAAATTTTTCAAATTTGCTGCCGGTTCCTGCGCCCGACGTCACAGGGACCGGAACATGAAAGCCAGATGCTGGCATCGGCCGTAGGAGATGGCCGGGGATGCATCGCGGGAGCGAAGGACAAGGTAAGCGCTGGACAAGGTAAGCGCTGTAGGGAATTCCTGTGCAACGCCGCATGGTAAGCCCGAGTGTAGCTCAGGGTTACCGCTTTTGGTACTGAAACTTTGCCTCGAGCTACACTCGGGAATACCGCTAGGGAGGTTAATACCTTGTCATCCAGTCCTCGTCGTCGTCTCTTCTCTACTTTTAACTCTACTTTCTTCACCTCCACCCAGTACCTCACTCACTGCTCATGAGATTGCAAATCATTTAAAAAACAAGATTGATGCAATTCGTAGGGGCATCGCCACTGCACAGACATCCATCCCACTTGGCATACCTCATACTAAACCTCCCTCAACACTTTCCTCTTTTGACCTTGCTACTACCGAAGAGGTCACTAAGGTTTTCTCAGAAGCCCATCTCACTACCTGCCCCTGGATCCTTTCCCCTCACAACTACTACGGTTACCCTCTTCTTTTATCCTATGCTCCCTCACTCACATCTTCGATCTCACCCTCTCGAATGGTGCCTTCCCCTCCCCTCTAAAGCCTGCGCACATCACTCCCATACTTAAAAAGCCCTGGACCCCACCAACCTGAACAACTCAAGACCCATCTCCCTGCTGCTATTTACCTCAACTCCTAGAATGCTTACTCTACAATTGCCTGAGCTCCTACCTCACTGACAACAACAACCTTCTTGACCCTTTACAGTCTGGCTTTCGCTCACTACACTCCACTGAAACTGCCCTACTAAAACTCACTAATCTACTAACTGCTAAACCAATGGCCACTACTCTGTACTCTTACTACTTGACCTCTCTGCGGCTTTTGATACTGTTGACAATCCCCTCCTCCTCAAACTCCACTCTTGGCCTCTGAGACTCTGCTCTCTCCTGGTTCTCCTCCTACCTATCGCAGCACTCCTTCAGCATTGCCTATAACGCTGCTGCCTCCTCCTCTTCACTACCTCTTTCTGTAGGGGTCCCTCAAGGTTCTGTCCTTGGACCCCTTCTTTTCTCCATCTACACCTCCTCCCTTTTGGTCACTTGATAAACTCCCATGGCTTTAAGTACCACCTCTATGCTGATGACACACAAATCTATATTTCTACCCCCCTCACCCCTTCAGTTTCCTCTCGCATTCCTAACCTACTAAGGGACATATCTGCATGGATGTCACTCCACTTCCTCAAACTCAATCTTTCCAAAACTGAGCTCTTAGTATTCCCCCCAGCCCGTGCCCCCTCCCCTGACTTCTCCATCAAGATCAATAACACAATCATCGGTCCCTCCCCCCTCATGCCAGGGTACTAGGTGTAATTCTAGACTCCCATCTGTCTTTTCAGTCCCAAATCCAATTGCTGTCCAAATCTTGTAGACTTCATCTCCAAGATACGGTTGTTCCTAACCACGGAAACCACTAAGCAACCTATTCACTCATCTCGCCTTGACTATTGCAACTCCCGCCTCATTGGCGTACCTCACCGCAGGCTATCCCCTCTTCAGTCTATCATGAATGCTGCTGCCAGAATCATCCACCTTACTAACCGCTCTGTATCTGCCACCCTCTCTGCCCAACCCTCCGTTGGCTTTCCATTGCCCAACGGATAAAATTCAAAACATTAACAATAACGTATAAAGCCATTTATAACTCGGCCCCAAATTACATCACCGATCTTATCGCTAAATTTCACCCAAACTGTACTCTTTGCTCCTTGCAAGACCTCCTGCTCTCTAGCTCCCTGGTCTCCTCCTCCCATGCTCATCTCCAGGACTTCTCCAGAGCTTCTCCTATCCCCTGGAACTCTACCCCAATTTATCAGACTATCTCCCACTCTGCTCACTTTTTGGCGATCTCTGAAAACCTATCTCTTCAAGGAAGCCTATCCTGCCCTCAGCTAATAACACTGTTCAACAAATTTTTATTTTTTGCCAGTTTTGGAAACAAAAGGATCCATTTCTTAATGAATTTCACA